GTTTAAATAATAATAGTAAGTATTACTAATAATAAAAATAGTAATTTTTAGTAATAATTTTAAATAAATATATTAGGGCATGCACTGCGTGGGCTATAGTTATATAATATATTATAAATAATATTTTTAAGTATAGGAACTATTAGCTATTAATACCTAATTTTATATTTATAATACTAAGGCTATTAGTATACTTTAAAAATTAAAAATAATAATTAAAAAATTTTTTAGGGCTTTTATTTACTAGCTTTATATAAATAATATTTTAGTAATTTAGTACGCGCGCGGGTAGCCTTTATTATTTTTTAATTAAGCTTTTTAAATATTATATTAACTTATAAACTAATATATAATTTACCTGCGGTGGTTTTTTAGCTATATAAATATTAATAATAATAAGCTAGTTAATAAACTAGCTAATAAGGCGGCCTTTATAAAAGTACTACCTTTAAATATTAACTTTTTTAAGGCGTAGCCTACCGCAAGCAAAATATATAACCTATATAAATAAATATATTAAATTACTTAAGCTAAGTAATAAAAAAGCACCTTTATAAAGCTATTAACCTAGTATAAATAATAGCTTATAAAGCTAGAGCCTTATTAGGTTAAATTATAACCTAAACTTATATTAAAGTATTTAATTTTATATTATTAGCTAGTACTAAGGTTATTATATAATAACTTTAAGTAATATTATAAATACTTTTAATATAAAAATATAAAAATTACTTACTTTTACAGGAGAAGCAAAAGCCCTAAATACCTAGTTTTTTATTATTATTTTTAATAATATTTTTAATAATAGCCCCAGCGCCCTATAATACTATTAATAATTAAGGCTAAGGCCTTAAAGTACCTTTATAAATTAAAGCCTAAAAACTTTATATTTTTACTAAAAATTATAAACTTTTATAAGTTTATTTATTTTTACTAGGGCTCCCCGCGCCCTAGCCTTATAAAAATTATTTAACTTAATATTAAATAGTTTTATTTTTTTTAGTTTTATTATATTTTTTTTTTATTTTATATTTTTTTTTAATATAACTAGCTTTAGCTTATATATATTTTTTATAAATAAGGCTGGCCCTTATATTTTATAGTATTTAAATTACTAAGCGCGTGATAAATAACACCTGCTAGTAGCTATATATTAAAATAATAAGTAAAAAATAAGTACCTAGCCTATAAGCTTTTAGTAAAAGTTACTTTTTAAAATAAAAAACCTTTTATATATAAATTATTTAAATAGGCCACTTGCCCTGCAGCGGCACGCCCCCATACCCTAAAGGAGGTTTAAAATATTAGGTGTACGCCTAGCGATCCCCGGGGCGTTAAATACCACTACTACTACTACTAAGTCAAAGAGACGGCCCCGGGGCTGATGTGTCCTGCAGCTGCCGGAGCTGGCGCTGAAACAACCGGTCCTGCACCGCTGGCTTGCGCTTAGGTCCTTGCATGGGGACTTTAAGTGGTACCACGAGCGCTTTTAATATAAAAATGCCAGGCTTACTTGCTCCTGCGGGATAAGTAAAAGCCCTAAATATCTAGTTTTTTATTATTACTTTAAATAGCACTTTTTATAATAGCCCTAGCATCCCATAATATTATTAATAACTAAGGCTAAGGCCTTAAAATACCTCCGCGGGCTAGAGCCTAAGGGCTTTATATTATTATTTAAAATTATAAACTTTTATAAGTTTATTTATCCCTGCTAGGGCACCCCGCGCCCTAGCACTATTAAAATTACCTAATTTAATATTAAATAGTTTTTTTTTTTATTTTACTACACTTCTTTTTTTTTTTTWTTTTAAACACCTTTTTTTAATATAACTAGCTCCGGCCAACGCGTTTTTTTTATAATAAGGCAGGCCCTTAAAACCCTTTATAACTAAAACCCTAAACACGTAATAAATAATACTTATTAATAGCTATATATAAAAATAATATATAAAAAACAGGCACTAGCCCATAAGCTTTAATAAAAGTTGCCCTTTAAAATAAAAAACCTTTTTATATATAAACTATTTAAATAGGCCACTTGCCTTGCGGCGGCACGCCCCTATACCCTAAGGAAGGTCCGGGATAATAGGCGTACGCCTGATGATCCCCGGGGCGTTAAATATCACTACTACTACTACTATGTGTCCTGCAGCACTGGAGCAGGCACCGATCTTCCTGTTTATTTCTAGCTTCACGCGCTTTCCTTGTTATTCAGACCCCATACAAATTCCTCATTACCAGGGTTACAATCGCCTATCTGGTGGTCATATTGTTGCATCACCGGCATCTAACTCCCCTATCCTACCTTTCCTGGGCTCAGTGCAAGATATCAATCTTACCATCAGTGGGTTCACGTTAGATAACCATTAGACACTCAACGCAGCTTGGAACGTGGATTCGCTAGAGGCTTTCCGAGGCCCCGTGTGGTACAGACGGGATGACAACTTCATTGATCAATATAGGCCCCATTCGCAACCCTTGGAACGGACATTTGAGTTTGATTGTGTACCCAGTTTAGGCTTGTCTACATTCCCCTGGCCAACTCATGATCTGCCTATGCGCTCTGGTTCACATAGGACAGGCTATGACAATGGAAATTTGGGTCTTAATCTCTCTGGTCCGGAAGATGGAGCACTATCTTTCATTGATCCTGGCACGAATCCTCCATCTTTATTCTCGGCGACCTCCTTGAACACCAACCTAACGAGTGCGTTATCGCTGTCAACTCATGATACTCACACGCCCTCCGAGGTGCCTCTATCGCCACTGGTTTCTCCAGATCGTCCATTGGCGCAATCGTACCACCATCTCGGCATTCTACCCTCCGCTTCCGCCAGCCAAACCCTGCGTTTGACTCGTTATAATTGCAAATACTGCCCAGAGAGCTTTGAAGACCAAACTACGTTAACACTCCACCAAGTTGGGGAACATAGCTATATACGTGAGAGGGGACGTCTAGACAAAGCCTCCTGCACACACCGCGGGGAGAGGCGGCACTATGGCACGACAACACATCAGCATGGCGAATCGTTTCGATGCGGTGGCTGTGGTCGGCACTGTAAGCGACGCGACAACCATATTCGCCACCTGAAGACCTGCAGCAAAGGATACGGTCAATACTATATCTGCGGTCGTGATTCACATCAGACTTTGGACAAGGCCGAGCACTGGGACCACGTTACGACATGCAAGATGACTGTTGGAAGGAAAAAGAAGTATCCATCGACCAAGCCGACTCATGGGGAATCAATGGGTTCTAGCCTAGGGGTGCCCTTACCCACGGAGGCTGTTGGCTGTTCGCCTTGAAGCACAAATTAGAGTTCTAGAATAAGGGCAGCTACACTCTCTAGGTATACTTGTGGAACTCGTTGGGTACTCTGGCTGGTGTAGATGACTCTTGCCTCTAGATGATCTTTCTTTCCTTTGTTCTGCACCTTGAAAGGTTTTTAGAGCTCGTGAAGATGGATCTTATAGCTGGAGACGGGATGTCCTGGGCTACTGTTGTTTAAGATGTCCTCCGTTGATTGAGAGAATGGTACATGAGTAGATAGCCCATTGTAATTGGGACGTAGCTGCGATCTCGAAAGAACATATTTTACACTTTCACCCTGAGGACTTGCAACTATACCTTCGTTAAACTTATCCCCGAGGGCCCTACTCTTCCCCCCGAACCTATAGTAACCAGGAAGGCTTAGCAACGCTAAGGACCCTAACTGATTTGAGGATAAGACCCGATTGGCCGGGGATGGATGGTTGAGTCCTAACCCTAAGCCCTATAATTGAGCAACTGGCCAGACATCACATTTGTTATACTGAATAAAACGAAGCTATCATGGATCTTTGAACTCAAAAGAAGGAATCCCCGAGTTAACTTGCTCTATATATAGTTGTTCCTCCCGCCTTTGCCGAAATCTATGAAACCGCAATAAAAGACGGTCCAACCGGAGCACAAACGGCCAGTACCACCATAAGCCCCCCGCGTCCAATCTTAGTGACCAAGGGTCTTGTATCAAAGACTGTTATCCGGATTACGTACATTCCGGGAGTCGGAATACGGCCTAGGTCCACGAAAGTGGGAAGCTAAGGGTCCTCTGACAAATTAGGGTGGAGATTCACGGGCTTCATAAGAGCCATATCCAGGTCAAGAAATTGTGCCACATTTGTACATACATCAAGTTTATCATCTTAGGTCATAAATCTGGAAAGCGGGCTATATAAGGGACTTACTCCAAAGATGGGCACAAGGGAGACCTTGCCCCCAAACAGCCCTAAGGTGTCAAGAATCTTTTCCTTATGACTTAGCATTCCTTTGTCGTCCTCAAGAGAGTTTTTGCAACGTTTGCCGTTATGGTGCGATGGATATCTTTTGTCGGGTTGCTGGTATTTATGCTGCCTATCTTATGAATTGGGGAGAAGCAGCAAGAGCGTAATTTCTGGAAGAGGAATCAAGATCTTGTCAAATGTTATGGTCTCCCGTTTGACTTGTGGCTATAAAAAGGGTTGAAGAGGTCAACGACGTTGGGCCCTGTAAGCATTTGATGCTTGATAGAGCCTTGTTGGCTGCAGTCCTCATTCGAGATCCTGAGGTTCATTGGCCTGCGTGTTTGTCCTCGCCCATTTCTGTAGAGTGGTATTGCTTGCATCGTGCCTTCTCGAAAAAGTCCTCAACTACTTGTTCTCATGACAGGTATCCCTCAGGAAAGGTCCTCAAATAATGAAACCCGTACGGCAAGTTCTCCATCTCTTGGGATTGTCATCGGGCGCCATATAACGCCCGTTTTCTTATCGTGGGTCTCGGCATGGCTGTTGAAAGCTTGTTCCCTGAAAATAACTCCCATACGCGGCCTGCATAAAATTGTCCTCACCCCAAATTGGGCCTGATGCAGCCAAGTGCCTCGGCATCTGGGAGGGGAGGTTCGTCGCAAAAAAATCCTGGTTTCAGCCTCAAAAACGACTGGCAATCGAAGAAGTACCTGGACCTATAGGCAAAGGAACCAATGACCTCCATGTGCGTTGTGCTCATTGGATGCTTTGGCAATCGAGCCGGAGGTCTCAAGGCAGCGAATAAGAAGGAAGCAAGAATTGTCCGTAACGATAACAGGCAACCCCTGCTGTGCATCTTGAGCAGCCAATCCCGACAGCGGGAAATGGCCCTCAGCTGCAGTCAGCCATCAGCACCTTCCTTTATATTCCATCTCTCGCTCCCATCTTACCTGCCATCTGTCCTTTCCTTTCTGTTCCCCAAGGCTCGTCCATTGCACCTGGCACTTTGATTCACCCTTTGACTGAATCACATACCCTCCCTGTCTGGAGTGATCGCGGGATACCTTATCCCGCGGGTACTCCATTCAGGGATTCCACAATGATCATCATTTAGGGCAAAACGGGCACTGGTCCTTCGAGAGCCCTGACGATCCCCTCCTATGGTGCGAAACTGATGACAACTTTGCTGATCATTCTGGTTACTCTGCGCAGCTTCTGGATAATCTGCCTGGTATCTCACTCGACCCCTCAACTCTCAACAACATACTCCCCGCGCCGATCGAGTTTGAGGACCAGGCGTCCCTTCTTTTTTCCACAAATACCTCAGTTTCACTTGGCTGGGATGGAAAGGTTGCAGATGCCGCATCAATTGCGCCGAATCCTCCCTTCCCAGCCTTTAGTTCAGATGGTAGTGCACTGCGCCAGAAGGATACCGATACAACCTCTACACTTTCACTCTCCGACAACTTCTCACATTCTTCCTCCGCCGGTCTGACCTTGTCACCAAAGTCTGCTTCTTTATTGTCTAGTCTAAATGCAGATCATGGATTCGCGTCGAGCTCTAATCACCTCACGATCCTGCCCAATGCTCTGAGTCGCCCTGTCTCTTGTCCCCACTTCCAATGCAACTTCTGCGAGAGCACCTTTAGCGACGAGTCCGCCCTAATGTGAGTGATATATATCTAGGACACTCTTCCCTGACCAATACTGACTCAGCACCATCATAGGAGCCACGAATTGAGGGCCCACCACGTCTGCGAACGCGGATGTGCAAAGAAAGCCTTCTCATGTGCGCGCAATAGGGATAGGCATTACGCAAAATCGCATGGCCAGAGCAAGTTCGACTTCCATTGCGGTTGCGGCAAACGCTTTGCAGGCGTGCGACGCGACAATTACCTTCGCCATCTGAAGAGCTGCAACGCGACGGACAACCTACCTTACATCTGCGGTCGGGACTCGCATGAGACTTATAATAAAGTCGAGCACCTTGCCCATATCAAAGCATGCAAGGGGCAGGTAGGGAGGAAGAAAAAGAATCCGTCTAGCAAGCCAAGCAAGTCAAGCAAGTCAAACTTGTCAAGATTCCAGGCTTTTTGACGAGCAATTTGCCCATCGCCCAGTCTAGCCAACTTCCAGTCATGACCTCCAGAGTGATGCGGCAAAGCAAAAACAGCTGTCTTTGAGTTGAAAGGTTGTATGGCAATCAAACAGTTTAGATGTCTCGTTTTTGTACCTTCGAGGGGGCCGTCCGGTGCTGTGGATGGACCTGAGTCGCCCCTTTTGGTGTTGATGATCCTGTCTTTTTCCCTTTTTTCTTTCCTTCATTGTTACTTGCTATAAACCCTCACGAACTTATGACCTACCGCACCTGGTTTGCAAGCGTGTTATCTTTCCGGTTGATGCCTACCCTATGTTGCTGCTTACACGGACCCAGTGCACTAGGGTTGTTCATGATGTCCTTCTGCCACTGATCTTTTTTTTTCTTTTTCTCCTTCGCCTTCGAAATCATGGTTCACGCTTCTTCCCTAACGGCCTTCATTTCCTTCTCTCTGTTGTGGGTTATCCCGATTGATTTGTACCGAGTTTCGTGGATCCGGGCCTTCGCCTTGTTAAGCCCTGGGCCGAAATGGTTTCTGGCCTCTCCTGCATAGACTGTGGATTTGGTGCGGTTGCAGATTAAATACGCATCTCTGTTCCCTCTGTTTCTGTGTTCTTTTGTTGTACTTGGCCTCCAGGTGAGGCACCCTCCACTCTTGTATCCCCACCTAGGTAAGTCCTGTCATGTTCCCCCTGTGGCCGTGCAGTTGACTGCCATTAATACACTTCACTTTCTCCGACCATCTTGCTTTACGTTATATACTTTTGGTAGTTTCTCGCTCGTACTGTCATTCTTACCTCCAACTACATCGCTTGTTTATCTTGGAGATGAAAGCTTGGAGATTGTATCTAGCTAGGCCACGATAGTAAAGCTATACTTGGTGTGGCTAACTAAGCTAATAGGCAAGGGTTATAGTAAGGCGAGTAATATACTATACTTTAACACCCCCCTTGCTAGGAGCCCTACTAAAAAAATAAAGCTAAATATATTTTTTAAATAAAAAGTAAATAATAAAATATAAAGTAATAAAAAATAAGTAAGGCGCCGCGGTGGGCCGCCCTTATATATAAGTAAAATAAAGGTTAAAATAAAAAATTATAAAGCTATTTAAAAATCACCCCCCTTGCTAAGGCGTTTTATGTTAAGTTACTTAATAAAGTGGAGATACTAAACCCGCTTAAAAGGCTTAGTAAGGCTATTAATAGCCTGTTTTTTAGTATTAATATAAGTAAATTTAATATTACTAGCGGTTACCTTTTTATAAATAAAATAATATTTAATTACTATATACTTTATGCGGGCATAAAATTCTAGATTTTTTAATAGGGTAATCACGCCTTAGTTATCCATATAAATAAGTATTAATTTAATAAAAAGTATTTACATTAAAGCAAGGCGCGAGATATTAAGTTTAATAAAAAAAAGTTAAAGCTATAAAAGTTCTTAAATTATAATTACCTAGGAAATATACTTTAACTTTATTAATAAAAGGGCTATAGCAAACTATTTTTTAAAAAACTAGCTTATTAGCTTATTAGCTACCTTAAAAATATATTTAAAGGTAAAGGCATAGCTATTAGTATAAGCACCGGCCTAGTTAGTATTATAGTATTTAATAAGGTCTTTACTTTTATATTAATAAAAGATAGCAAGGCCCTTTAATACCTTAAGGTAGTAAAAAACACGTGTTAGGGCTATAATATAATTTTTTAAAAAATTTACTATATATTAAAATAAAAGTATAATAGTAAAAAAGATATCTAGGCGTGTATTAATAAAGATTTAAATAAAAATATTAATTTATTTTTAGTATAGGGAGATTTTTTTTATTAAGGCCTTGCTATTAAACTTTTATAATATAACCTTAAAGTTATATAAAGTTATAAAATTTTTATAGTTTTTAAAACTAAATTACTTTAAAATATTTTTAATATAATATTTTTAAAAAAAATAAATACTATTATCCATACAGTAAATATTAATATTAATAAAGTAAGTAAGTACTTTATTATTAATAACCTTAAAAGCGCCTTTAAGCGCCTTAATAACCTTTATAATATTATTTATAAATAAGGAGAGAAGCATAATATTATTTATATAAAAAAGAATAAATACTTAGTTATAAGTAAAGACTAAATAATCCACGTGTGTTTTAGTAAATTTAAGCAAGATAAAAAGGCTAGTAAGTATTTTATACCACTTTTTTAATAATTACTTTAGGCTATATAAGGTTTTTAAAAGTAAGCTATATTTACTAGTAACCTTACTACCCTTAGGTAGTTTAATAAAAATCTTTTTAAAAAGATTTGCGTATAAAAAAATAGTAATAATATTAAGAAAGTATAGTACCTAGTTATAGCAGGCAGCTAGTATAATAAATAATTTAAAAAATATTAATTTAGTAATAACTATATATACCTTATAAATCTTGTAATTATAGCTAGTAATTTAGTAAAAACCTTTAATAATTAAGTAAGCTTTATAAGTACTATTATGCTTAATTTTAAATACCTATTTAAGATTAAGAAGTTATATTTCTTTTTAATAATTAATAACACGCCACGTGCTGTTAAAAAAATAATTATTAAGCTTTTTATAAATAGCTATATGCTATTTATTTACCTTTAAATAAAAAACTATATTTATATATATTTTTAGTTTATAGCTAGTATTATTTAGGGTTTTAAAAGCAAAATTTTATTTATTTAACTTGCTAAAGTTTACCGCGAGAATAATATTATTAATAAAGTTATTAAGGGCAAGCTTATAATCCGCGAGAAACCACGCAAGATAGTTTAAAAAAAGGTTAAAATTATATATAAAAAAAAGTTTATTCACGCTTATTAATTTAAGGTGCTTTTTTATAATTTAACTTAGCTTTTTTAAATAATTTAAGCAGTGTATTTTACTTTTTAAGGGTAAAAAATATTAAGTATTAGCCTTTAAAACGCGGGTGTGTTTTACTAAACTATTATAATTTTTATTAATTATACTTAAATTACTTTTTTAAAAAAAAGGGGGGGGGTTTAAAGCAGGATAATATTAAGGCTTTGTGTTATATAACCCCTAAACTAAAAAGTTTAGTACTAGTATTAAAGAAAAAACACTAGTTAGTTAATATTTTTAAAGCTATTTTAGGTTATAAGTAGTATTATTAAAAAGGTTTTTTTAAAACAGTTTTTTCTATTCTAAATTTATTTTAAAAGGTTAAGAAATGGGGTTATAAAAAACAAAAATATTTTTATAAGTATTTAATAAAGTTTTAAAGCCAGGGGGCGTATATTTTTACTTTTAAAAATATAATTTTTTTTTATTTACTTTACTAGTAACAAGGTGTAAAGTATTTAAATTATATTTATTAATAGGCGGTGGGAAAAAAATACTTAACTTTTTAAAAATAATATCACGGGCGGTAATAATTTACTTTAATTTTAAGTTATAAACTTTATATAAACTTTTAAAGTATTTAATAAAGCGGCCCTTAGCCATATAAAGGTTAATTTTTATTTTATATATTTTTTTAAAAATAAAATAAAAGTATTTATATCCTAGCGCGCGCTAGTAAAAAATATTAGGTTATATTTTATTAAGTGCTTTATAAGGTGTTTTGCTAATAATTTTATAATAAAAATAATTATAAATATAAATAATAGCAAGAACTAGGTAATTTTAAAAAAACTTTAAAAGTTAGTTTTTTATTATAATAAATATAACTAGTTTAATAATATAATAATTTTTTACCTTAGTAATTAAGTTTAGCGCTAAGTAATATCTTAGTGCTAAATTAAAAATAATACTGTAATTTTTATAATATAACTTAAGTAGTTAGTATTTTAAAGTATTATTATAGTAAATACACTTTATTTTTAACTTTAGTTATATTTATAGCTAGTTATAAAATTAAAGAAATTTTTTAAAAAGTTTTTTTTTTTTTATAATAAATACCTAGCAGAACTAAAAGGCCTTATTAATAAATATAATAAAATATAAGGCGCCTGTCTGCCCGCGTACTAATATAGGCCTGTAAATATTTATATATATAATATTACCTAGCCAGCGGCCAAGATTTTTAATTAAATTTTACTTTACTAAGGGGAGCGCTATTTTTTTACTAATAATATATAACTTATATTATTTAACTAGCAAGCCCTTGTATAATTTAAGGCTAATAATATATTAAAAAAAATTCTTAATCTTTTTTTTAAATACATGGGCAGCCTATTAATAAGCTAAATATATAAAAATTATTTTATTAAAAACCTTTACCCTGGCTGCTATTAAACCCTTAAGTAAAATTATACTTTAACTAAATATAAAGGCATCCACAAGCGCGGTAATTACCTTAAAAAAAGTATTAATATTTAAATAAAAATAATAATAAAATCCAAGCAAAATAGCGTATGCAACCAGGGATTTATATTATATAAGTTTAATAATAATATTAATATTAAATATTATATAAATATTATTATCTACAAGCTATTTAATTAATAATAAATTATAAGCTAAGCTAGGCGTGTACTAAATATTTTTTAATAAAAAACTTTTAATTTATTACATACTAAACTTATTAATAACACCTAATATAATATTACCATAGCCTTTAGTAAAAAACTTATTATTATTAGCTATCTTAACTAGAACTTTGGTATATTTAAATAATATAAAGTTATACTTAAAGTATGTTATATAATAAAAGGCACTAAAGTTAAGTATTTAACCACTATTAGCGGCCGGTTTAACATTTATATAAGTTAATTTAATATAAAAATCCAGCTTATTAATATTAAGATTTAATAGTTATATAAACGCGGAGTTTATGTATATAAAGTTAAAGTTAATACTAACTATATTAGCGCCTAGAAAGGCCCGTAAAGCATTAGGCAGAGGTACTAATAAGGGACCTTAAATTAATCCCTAAGCTAACTATTATAAAGCGCTAGCAGTAATATTTTTTACCTATATAATATTTATAAAGGCAGAGGTATTATAGCCTTTTTTACCTTTTTTTTTTTTATAATATTTAGATTTACTACCATGGCTTTAACAGGCGCTAGCACTAGCGCTTTTAAAGTTACCTTTATTTTTTAACTAGGTATTTACTGGATTTCTAACACAGGTAAAAAAAAAATAACTATTATATAACTAGTAATATATATACCATATAGTGCTATAATTTTTAATAGGAATAAAGCTATTATAACTAAAGTAGCTAGTAATATTAATAGTATATTAAGTAATTTTAAATATTTATATTTAATTAAGTTTAAACTATAAAAAAAGTAAATAAACATTATTAATACTTTAATAAAATATTATATATAACTAAATAATAAAAGGCTATATATTATATAAGCTAAAAATTACCATGGTAAAAAAACATTATATAACTTATTAATTAAGGGTTTAAATAATTACTAGCTTAGTAATAATATTCCTAAACTTTATAAAAAATTATTCTAGTTACTAACTAGTATATTTTATCGCGTTAAGTATTTGCCAGCTTTTTAAAAAAAAACTAGTACTAAATAAGTTATATAGCTCTTATAAGTAATAAAAAACTTAGGTAGTACTTTAAAGGCTAGAAATTTAGTTTATATATTATATATAAAGTGTTAATTATAAAAATAATAATAAAAAAAAGTTATATTATATTTAGCGCCCTTGCTCCGCTCTTATTTTAATATTTTAAAAAGTTTAAATATTAATTTAGTTTTTAATAATAAGCTTAGTAACTTAATCTTAAGCTATATTATTTTTATTAGTATATTTTATAATAATAATAGCTTGCTTTAGTAAATACTTGTAAAAAAAAAAGACTTTTTTAATAATAATAAGCTAAAAATAAGGCAGTTTAAATTAAAGTATAATTTTAAAAAACTTATGCTATAAATAATAGTTTTCTTAATTATTAAGTTATATAATAACTTTGTAAAAGTTAAAAATAATAGTAATAATATTAACCATGCTATAAATAAATTTTTACATAACCTTAATATATAGGGGTGGCGTGGGAGTTATATAAAGTAAATAATTAAAAAATTTATACTAGGTAGCTAAAAATCCTAATACTATATAAAAATATTTTTAACTTAATAAATATTTAAAGTAAATAAATTTTTAAAAAAGGTAATAATAAAGAAAGTAGTTATATATAAGTAAATATAATATTTTAATAAAAGAAGCTACCTAGGGCACATAACCTTTTAAAAATAAAAACTTAAAAATTATATCTAGCTAGGCCACAATAGTAAAGCTATACTTGGTATAGCTAACTAAGCTAATAGGCAAGGGCTACAGTGGGGCGAGCAGTATACTACGCTCCGACAGTTTAGACTATAAATATGTAGTTAACGGTTAGAATACGTCCACAGGTTTCTTCCCGCTGCATAAAGCGGCGAATCCTTATTTTGCTTTTCATTATTAATACATAGCATCCAGGACCTTCAGCGCGGGCAGCGTGGTAGGTATTTCAGTATAAACACCTATACATGTGATTATCCATTCCAGAATAATATGCAGAGCTTTCAACAGATCCCGAAAACCATCTGTTTACAAACATCCCATTGAGTCGAGCAGAAATACCCGGGGCGTGTCTGGGTGGGACTGTGAGGGAAGCCCAAACTTTCTGCTGTTAGTAGAATTGTCGGGCTGCTATATGGATGCTTGCTGCAGGTTCAAGGCAGAGACAAACGCCTCGGAGTCTTAACCCCGTTAGATCGCCATATACATCTCAAGTATGCTATGGTAGGTCCGACATACCGTCTTCCGTCACAAAGTCAAACTGAATCCACTTTTCCTTCTTCCACCACGCATCGCACCCTGAAGACGAGGATCCCGAGGCACGGGATGTCCGGGAGTCATGCGATGTAGCGGTGACTGTGCTCTCCACCGAGTTCCGGCGTGGTAAGAGACCCGATGTGAAGCTGTGTCTTCGGGTGCCGGAGACCGGGAGTCGGATCTTGGTTCTACCTTCTCGTTTGGGGGCACAGAAGTCGGAGACTGGAAGGGTGTTAGAGAGGGTAGCAGAGTGGACTGGGCTGTGGCAATAACGTACCTGGGATATCCAAGAAACGAGGTGAATGGGATGGTCCACGGTGAGATCCGAAGTAAAGGATGGATAGGGCACCGGTTGGATCCTGCAGAACGCGGACGGTCTCCTGGGAGCAGTGGCCTTCCGGCAGAGTACTCGAATGGATGAGTTTGATATCTCCGTTGAAGAGGACGGTGCGGCGGAGGAGTGTGTTTTGGAACCGGTCAAAGTCTGCCTCGGTGTTAGATGTTCAAGCCGGTAAGGAAAAGCATCCGGGAGATGTACCCTGCTTATCGTGGCAAACATAGATTGGTGTGACATGAAGCATGTCCGCACGCCCGTCCTGCGTTATTTCGATCTGATGTGATCCCATGAAGCCGATGGAAAGCGGATTCGATGCAGCTGATGAGTGCCGACTGTACATCAGGTACGGCATCATGGAGTCTTTGACGTTTTTCGACGGATTTTCGCGATCGAGCGAGTGGACGAGCTTGAGTCCAGTTTCAGCGTTGATGCCCTCGATCACGTCCCTCCTGCTGGACCTGGGATCGAGGAACGCGGTTACGGAACAGGTTACCGGCGGATGCACATAGCTGCCCCTGCGGTTTGGGTCTGGAAAAAAACTGGGACACATCAGCATCTACTCCAAACATCTACCTGGGCGAGGCGTCAAGATACGTACACTTGCACTGGGTGTTCAGTGAGCAGTTGGGAAGGGATACTGGATCGACGACGCCATGTTGAACCAACCGAGACTGGAGAATGGGGTGGGTCGGAGTCGAACGGCCATGTCTCAATAATGGCTGAGCCGGCGGGTCGCACAGGGACTCGTGCTGGCGATGGTTGTCGGGGAGAGTGCCATTCTTCAGGAGACGACATGCCGCGTGGCGTCCTGGGAGGAGGGTCCGGTTCAGGGGCGATGTCCAATTGCCCTACAGTAAAGTCGAGTCGTGGAGAAGGCCCGTCGAGAGGGTGCATGATGCGGAATTGCAACCGCTCTTTGAACAGACCCCAATCCTCTGCGGCGTTGTTGAGCGCCTTGGTCGATCTCCCGATGGAATCAGTTTGCTGCCGACTGGGGACGATGACATGCTCGTATCCAACCTTGTCCAGTGCTTCTTGTACCTCGCCTCCTATCTGGTTCAGCAGTTCGACTACGGGGGAGATAATGGTGGTGTCGCTGCCGATGCTGCCACTTGTGTCTGAACGTCTGAGTGGGCTGATGCGTTCTGGGGACGGCGTCAGCTGTCTGCCGATGGTATCCAAGCGAGTGGCCAGATATTCTAGCCTGCCGGTGATCACTTGGATACGCTGCAATGCAGCGTCGCTCTCGGATTGTGCGATGACATCGTTCTCGGGAATGGCGTTCAGGGCAGGGATGGGTTCGAGCAAGTGGGCCAGACGGCGACGGTGGGTTCTAGAGAGATATTTGACATCGAGGGCATCGGGAGACTCATCAGGGGCACAACGTCGAAGAATCAAAGAGACCTGTGCGCTCATTGCCCTAGGCGAGGGCCGTCAGCGAGTCATCGTCCACTTTCTCCTTCAAACGATGCGCAAGTCTACCCACCTGACTGCTTTGAGAATCTCCACATGCTCCGTTCTCATCTGCCTTGTGTCATCCCGATTGTTGGCGGTAAGCTTGAGGGTCGCGAAGTGAATGTGTCCTTCGAGATGCGCCCTCAGCAGCTCAGCTTCCGCGCGCTCGAGAGGCCAGGAGACCGTATCCCAGGCACTCAAGAGTCGTTCCTGCACGCTCCGTCGTCTCCCTACGTCTCTAGTAAGTGATCTGTGTTTTTTGATAAAGCTGGCGCATTGTGCAATCGTTTGCTGGTAGCCATCTCCAAGGTCAAGGTCTTCCCCGGGATACTTATTCGCAATGGCTTGCAGTTTCTCCAGCGTGGCTCGGACGAGGTTGAACTCGGTTTTGAATGCAGCAAAGTCAGATTTCGCTCCTCCTGGTCCGTCTTTGAAGCTCGTGTAGATTGCCCAGACGATCTTTGCACCCTGGATAATGTCCCCTACACCAACGTCCATGATGACGGGGAGGGGAGGAGACGTTGTTTGATGGAAATATGGGCAACGAAAAGCAACAAGAAGGAGTGGAGACGATGAGAGATGAAGATGTAAGATCGAGGAAGTGATAGACCAAGCTCCGGTGTCAGAGGGGGCGTGCCAGGCCACCCCATCGGGAGCCGCATCATGCCCCTCAACTCTGAACAGGTGGCAGCCAGCGGACTGCGTACTACGGAGACCAAATTGCCGTCAAGTTAGCGGGTTCGTAGCGAGGACTAAGTCCAGAGTATGCAGGTTGAGCATGCGTGATCCTTCCTAGCGTGCGCACCGCCCGGGTGGCGCCTGGCTAGAGCCCTAAGCCCCCAATCGGAGCAGCCACAACCACAACGTGGGTGAACTGGCTGCTCTCACTGTCTAGATTTCTATATCGATTGCCTTCTCTCCCCTCATCTCGCTCCGACGCAGTGCTGTCGCACATGTTCCTGTTCCTGATCCAAGTTCCTCTTCTTGAGCCGCACCGATCCGTAACCATCCGCCATGTGGATAACATGGATGTTCCCTGATCAAGAGGAAAGCCTACTTGAAAAGTACCTTTGACTCATGCGACAGTTCTATGACCCGGGCAAAATAGCCAAGGCGTAAAGCCACCCTGCTCGTGTCTGTCTGAGATCCCCGAGGCGCCTTCAGCCTCGCGCCGGGCAATGCCCCGGGTACGCGGCCTTATGAGCAGGTCATGCCTCGCGAGTCTATGCTGGGAGAGAAAGTGTTTGTAACTGTTTTCTTCCTGCCGCCCCATGCGACTCGCAGGCCGCAACCATGTCGGTGCTGCCATTTCTGACGCTGCACCTGAACCCCTGGAGGAATTATGAGAGTTTCCAGCACCACACGGTAAGAACCATTTCAACACTTTCGAACCCTTTTAATGGATGACAGCCAGCTCAGCGACATGAGTACATGATTGGTCGGTTAGAAAATGCCCGACGACGCGAATGGATCTGGGTCGTGATTGTCGCCGGCATCGGCTTCTTCACGGATGCCTACGCAGTAAGCATCCCCTCTCCGTAACAGGCAGTTGCTGACGGACAGATTTTCTCCGTCAACATTGTCGTCCCCATGCTTGGCTATGTGTACTGGCCTCATGAGGATGGCATGCCCCAGCGCTTCAGCGTAGCCCTGAGTATTGCCACGCTCGGCGGCGCCATGGTGGGCCAGGTCCTGTTTGGAGTGGCCGCCGATATCTGGGGCCGACGCAAGATGTATGGGCTTGAGTTGGTTGTGCTTATCTTCACTACCCTAGGCGTGGCATTATCGTCTACTGGCGCCGAGTCGTCCATGTCTATTGTCGGCCTCTTGATCTTCTGGCGATTCTTCATGGGCGTAGGACTCGGCGGCGACTACCCTTTGTCTGCTGTGATATGCTCAGAGTACGTACATAATCTTCATACAAGGCCTTCGCTAATCGTCAGGTTTGCCCCTACGCGCATTCGAGGCCGGATGCTCGCGGCCGTGTTCTTCTGCCAGTCGCTTGGCTCACTGTCTGCAAACCTGGTCGCCCTGATTGCAGTTGCCGGTTTCCGCGATCAGCTTTTGAGAGACGCTTCTGGCCAGGAGTGCACAGGGGCCTGTGCGCGGGATGTTGACCGCATCTGGCGTCTCATCGTCGGTCTCGGTGCGGTGCCGGCATTCATCGCGCTGTGGTTCCGACTGACAATCATCGAGTCGCCTCGATATACGGCCGAGGTTTCCCAGGACAGCTTGCAGGCGGCCGCCGATGTATCCTACTTCTTTCGATCCGACGAGGCCATCCCGCCCCCGGCGATGAGCCAGGTCACCCACGAGGTCGACATCTCACCGACCACCTCAAGGCCACACTCGTATCCCTCAAGCGTTAACTCTAGCCTGTCCTCTACTTCGCAGGAGATTACACGCACCGTCGACCTCGGCAGCTTCTGGAATGCTTTCAAGGACTTTGTCGCCAGGCCCAAGCCCTTTCGAGTTTTGATGGCCACGTGTTTATGCTGGTTTTTCTTGGACCTACCCTTCTACGGGCTCGGCCTGATCAGCCCCCAAGTGATCCATACCATCTGGCCCGGTAGGAACGAGAACGCTGATGTAACGATATATGACTCCCTCATGCAGAACTCCTACCAGAGTATGGTGGTCGTTTCGTCCGGCGCGGTGCTGGGAAACCTCATCGCCATCTTCACCATCGACCGGCTCGGGCGGCGTAACATTCAACTCAACGGGTTCTTCTGGCTGTTCATCCTGAATGTTGTCATTGGAGCCACATTTCGGGTTCTCGGAGGCAAAGACAGCTCATCGGCGTTGGTTGTCCTATACATTCTGTGCCAAATCTTCTTTAACTTTGGTGGGTTGCCCTTAAACATTCCAAGGCTGGTTCAAAATAGCTAATAGACCATGTAACAGGACCAAACACAACGACATATATTGTGAGCCATTCCTACACATTCAGTAGTGCCACTGACAAGTCGTCCTCAGCTCCCAGCAGAACTCTTCCCAACGCGCTTCCGCGCTACATGCCACGGTCTTGCAGCGGCCGCAGGAAAGCTTGGCTCAGTTATTGCTCAGGTGTGGATATCCTACGTGGACTACGGGTATGGGTCATTTCAAGATGACGCTCCGGAGAACGATCCTGTCAATTGGCTGGGATTCTCTCTGCTCTGGTAAGCTTGCTGACCTCCACTTTTACGGCGGAGATCCCTCCTGACAACGAGCAGTCTCTCCGCGTTCATGCTCCTGGGCCTTATTGTCACGTACTTTTTTGTACCTGATGTTAAGGATCCAGATGGCAAGATTAAGTCCCTCGAGAAACTGGCTGACGATCTGTTGTCGGATACGGGGCCTTTGGCTGGGCCCTGTGGGAGGGGTTCGCTTCCTAATGGGAATGTGTGAAAAATACCTCGCTAGTATAACTACTCCATCCGTGGCTTAAATGGCATATTACCATGTTTACATTTCCCTCTAATGCTAATGATTCTTGGCGCGGAGAAAAAGTCGAACTTCCTCCATGTATATCGGGGAGACAGGTCAGGTGACTTACGTAGCCCTTACTCGCAGGTACCTGTTCACTAAAGACACCATTGCACTCTCTACCCATCGCCTTGTGCAAAACACAGTTTACCCACTACATATCTGTGGCAGTCTGAAGAGTTCTCTCGGAAATTCTCCCAACTATAGCATCTTGCCCCGGCCAATGGTGTTGAGAGCGTCGGTATATATATTTGAATTGAGGCCGGTTTAGTTAGGCGCTGGAAGCAATAAATTATAAACATCAAGCTTGCCCTACGGTGATCCCCATGAATATTTAAAGCCACCCCTCCAAAGAGTGAACTGTAGTACCTAGATCACCCGAGAACCTTCCAGTGTCGAGTTGGGATGGGACCTGGCCATCTCGTTTGTTTTTCCCTTATCAGGGACCCTGCACGCTACGCTATGCGCCAAGTAAGCCTCCACTAATCATGAAGACCATCCAGGAACATCCTAACCCAGCCCATTCTAGCCCCATGCACCTAGTAGATCTGCAAAAACAGGGTTCAGGTTCGCTGATAACCCCGCCTGGGGAATTCCCGAGGCCATCCCCAGCCTCGCAAGCTTTTCTCCTCGCTCGTCCTTACCAGTACCTTTACTCACGCCACCCCTGTACTCACATCTCTTTGACCAAACCTTCTAATTGGGGCTCTACAGTACGATGCTCTCACTCTCTACCACTCTGACCCCCCTCGCCGCCCTCGCCCTTCTAGTCAGGGCGCAAGCCCAAGAATCCGGCAGGACATGCTACAACCCCGACCGCACCACCTCCCCAACCGCCGTCCCCTGCACCTCCGCAACGCAAACCTTCTGCTGCGGCCCCGACGCAATCTGCCTCTCGCCCGGCTACTGCCTCAGTGTGTCCGCGCAACCCTACACCCTGTATCGCGGATCCTGCACGGATTCGGGCTGGGGTGATTTCTGCGCTTATTATTGTGGTGCGTTTCCTTTCTTTCTCATTCTTTATTGTTATTGTAGGGAGGAAAGGGCAAGACTAATAGTTGGTGTGGGCAGTAAATTATCGCACGGCTACAAACGCGCCTATTGTCAGTGTGGGGAGCAACGATGACGGCCGCGCGATTTACTGCTGTGGCGCTGGGGCTCAGGCAAATCAGACGGACCAGACGACGTCTTGTGAGAATGGGGACGAGCCGTTTGTGCTGGAGGATGGGGAGATGGTTTTTGGGAGGGCGGCGCTTGCTGGTGTGGGTAATTCCACGGTTAGCGACGACGACTCCGGCTCTGGCTCCACGGATGCCAACTCCAGTGGGACCGGGGGAGATGGTAGAGGGAGCTCTGAGGGAGCTTGCAGCAACAATGATGTCGCGATTGGTGCGGGTGTGGGAGTCCCGCTAGGTGTTTTGGCGTTATCTGCTGTGTGCTGGGCGCTACTTGAAAGGAGGAAGAGGACGCATGCTGTTATGGGGCCGGTCGGGATTGGCGCACTAGGGCAAGCTGGCGGGGAGGGTGTATCCGTACAGACTCAGCTGTTTCATGTACCCCCTCAGCAGAAGGGTCGTCCGACGGAGCTTGATGGCATGGGGAAAGCAAGGATCTCGGAGATGATGGGAAGCGAAGGCGATAATCAGTTGAGGGGGGTATGAAGTAATCCCGACATACATCCCAAACCCCTCGCTCGAGAAATCCGTAACATAGCGCATATAATCGCAGATTACAAATCGCCAGGATCTAATGGGAGAGCGCGCCCCAGATGGCCGCCCAGGGCATGAAGTTGCCGTATATAGAGATTTCGTACTGCAATATGGTATTGTAGATTGTGTAGTTAAACAATGAAATCAACCCGGTGATGCCGATGATTGTTAAGGGTTGGCTGTGAAGACGCTGGAGAGTATGCCTGCGAGTTCGGATGAGAAGAGGCACTTGTTGAGGCCGTAGAAGGAGCCTGTTCGCCGGGTTATGTTGAGGGTGTAGGCTATTGCGGGGAGGAGGCTGGGTTCTAGGTCAGTAGGTGGGAGAGCTGTGAAGGGGGGAGAAACGTACTTGACGAAGTACATACGGATTGTACTGGCGATGGTTTGGTAGGTGAGGGCGTCAGTGATGTCGCTCCAGTAGTAGGGGAGGCGCCGGCGGAATAGATGTTGTGGTTTATGGATGCCTTGTCCCGGACGGAAGGCGCGGAAACTTCTCCATCTGGTAGATAGATAGGCGTAGGAGGTGGTGGACTTTTCTCGGGATATGGGGATGGAATGCATGGGAGATGGGGACAAGGAAGAGGACATGGTGAGGATTGGGTTGAAACAATCTGTACAGGGTGGATGGGATATTAAGGGTGAGAAAAGGCCTTTATGGTAAGATTATAGGTAGGCATGGATCTAGTTGAACAAGACAACCGGATTCTTACGGGGGATGTAATCAGCAGTTAAGGTGGTGTCATGGCAATAGATATAAATAATGCATTTGTCCGGGTTTCCAGAGTTATTATCCTCCTAATAAGATCTTCACTGCGACATAACCTACCCTCTGCAACTTCTACTTGTCAAGTGTATTCATCCGCATGTTAATCAACTGATGACATCTTTTGCCCTAAGCTGAGTCAGCGCCTTTGCCCGGGCAGATTTCCGTCTTGGCTGCTGTGGAGGCACATCTCACCTTATTTCATCCTCATCTTGTCAAGGGTACTGTTGACCCACCGTATAACAGGGTACAAGAAATCGTACATACGTCTGTCTGGGCGCCATGGTGTCTTCTTTACCACCGCTGGTATCGCAACTGTGCGACATCCTACACAACCCGATTTTCCCTGCACAGCTTGCCTCGGCTATACAAGGCAGTCCGAACGACAAGGATCTGTATCTGAGGATAGAGGCTTCGTTAACAACGGGTGCTCGGTCAACGTCAAGTAATGGGGCGCTGCAGCTGGTTTGCTAATATTTTTTCTTTGCATTTATGTGTTTCTGACTTTTTAGGGCTGCATCAACCTTCGCAATGGGATGCTTGTGCCATCACCGTCGTTTACACCAGCGCATACTCCGGACCCAGGGGTAAGAAGACATGATATATCCCTTTTTACCAAATCATCCGAATTTCGACTTACGTTGAGCAGGGGGATGGAGCAGACTCAGCATCAGAGTCTACCCTACACTTCACACCCGATGACCACGAGTCCCGACCTTCCAAACGACACAAGACAGTGAGCGGACTGCGCCTTCCTCATTCTTCATCTCTGGAGAAGAGCAAAGCCCGTCCATTGCATACCAAAGAGGCATCCAATAGCCATCCACACGACAATGAGTCCCCAAAATCCATCCGCCAAGTCCACAGCGACACGCGCTTCCCGCAACGCGCAAAACCAGGCCAAGGCCTTGACCCGCCAGTCCTGGAACCAACATCATCCGACAAATTGATTTCTGGGATCTGGCGACAGGTGTACTCATCCGTTCAGTTGAGTCGAGACTTCTCAGTATGCTATTTCCCCTCTCCGAGCTCCTATATGGACATAATGCTAATCCGGCGAGCAGGATGTAAAACCGACAATCAACATCCGCTCAGGCGCAAGTCTCGAAGTATTCGAATCCGTCAACGCTCTATGTCTGCAGTACTACAACCGCAGCCAATCCAGCCGGGCCCTCGAGATGATCGTGCAAGCCTTCTGGGTCGAAAGCTTCGAAGCACGCACTGCAGTCCTGCGCTACGAAAAGCCAATCCTGTCTAAGACAGAGGCGCGCATGATCGCCGTGCGCGAAGCATGCGTCGTGCTGAACTGGAGGGAGAAAGACCTGCGGAATAGAATGTACGCGTTACCTTCACTACGCCCACCCATCCTGCGACAGAAGACTAATGAGCCGTGTAGGGCCATCTGGCGCGGCTACAAAGAAATCAAAGACTACGGCGGGTGGGCGGCGCTCGTGTTCGCCAGCGCAGGCGTCTACCGGTTCTGCAAGTACCGCAGTGAATTCGGCGAGGGACTGTTCTGCCGTCTACGGCATATACGCTCTGGTCTGGAGATCGCGGCTGATACGTTGCATCCGGGGTGGAGGGATATTTTGCAGGTCATTCAGCAGGATACGCCTGCTGTTTATACGGGCCATCCGCATGGGTGGGTTACGACGCCCGAGGGAACGTGTCTCACGCTTGCGTCGACGTACGAGTATTTGAATCTGCCCGGTGGATTTCAGTACACTTTCATCGATGAATGCGTTCTTGATGAGAAAGTATTTGGGCGTGACGATCCGCGCCGCGTCCCAGAGCTCGACGAAGATACCTGCCCCGTCTGCCACGAGAAACAATCCGACGATATCACAGAGAACCAGTGTGTGTGCTTCCCGGCGCTCTTCGGCGGAGTCAGATCTTCAGCTCCAGTTCAGATCTTTCGCACAACGAATGGGAAGAATAACGGCGTTGTTGCGCGCTGTGTAAGTCCCTTCCCAAGATCTCCCACCTCCCTTCTCCTTCTTAATAAGCTAGGGTACCTAACGGAAGTCCAGCCCTTCGACCGCGGCACCGCAATCGGCGAATTCACCGGCCTAATCACAAGCGGGATCACCGGGCTAGACGTGATGATCGGAGGAACGCGGTCGCGACCGTACCAGATCTTCCAAGGGAGGATGGGCAACTTCACGCGGTTTATTAATCACAGTTGTCGACCGAATAGCCAGTTCCAGAGATTCTATTGGAGGGGCAAGGAACGGATTATTGTTGTTAGTAGGGGGGTAAGTGCGGGTGCGGAGATCACGGTGGATTATTCGGAGGGGTATTGGAGGAGTTTGGAGAAGAGGTGTCTCTGTGGGGAGGCGTGTTGTCGGTTTAAGGAGAGGTAGATGGACTAATCTATAATACTCCCTATGGATGTTAATCACTCGCCCTGGTGTTGTGTAATTATGTCGGACCACATGGCATTTACTCGGTACACCCAATGGTAGTTGGCTGTAAGCAGTGTCTGTTGATCATAAATGTTAATAAAAATACTTTAACCAATCAAGGGTCGGTAGCTCAGAGGTAGAGCAAGCGGCTGCAGTGAACTGTTTCCGCTAGGTCCCGCGTTCAATTCGCGGTCGGCCCTATCTTCTTTTTTTTTTTTTTTTTTAGCTATTACTAGGGTCTCGCCCCTGTGTCGGACAATTTTTCGCCAATTATTGAGGCAACAGGTTCTTGAAACGAACCATCGAGCGGGGACTTCACTTCGCACTCATGCTAAATAGTTCAAACCGCCACCTAATGCCCTGCTTTTAACGTTCGCGTTTTAAGCCATTGCCCCAACATGCGAGGGCTACGGACTGCCGTCGCGGGCTTACTGGTGCTGGTGGATTCGGCACGCGCCCAGCAGCTTGCTGGGACAGACTCTATCACTAGCTACCCCAACACCGTCACCTCTGCTACCTTCTCTTCCGTGGATGCCGATATCCCTACAGCCACCAGTGATCCCGGCTTTATCTACACCCCTCCACCTCTCCCGTCCAAGGCTCCAGGAACCATCTCGGACTGTTATGAATACGACGCGACGTCCTTTGACGACGTCTCATGCTACTATTTAGCATTGGACCATAATGTGCCCTTTGCGGATCTGGTGGAGTGGAACCCGAGTCTCGAAAACAACCAAGTCAGCTGCACACTCTCGTCGGCGTACAGCTATTGTGTCAAAAAGTACGAGAATAGTACAGGTATGTAATCGTTTTTCTAATGTGGGAACCTCAAATCTGATAGAAATAAAGTCACGGACAATGAAACCATGTGCCTTTCCATTGAGGCGACTGAGGATGGTACCGCCTCAAACTGCAACTGCTTTACCTATGTCAACAGCCATGATGAAGGAGGTATGTAGCCCCTGAATCCATAATTGTCGTCCTGTTGACCTAGCCCACTAGACATGACCTGTGAGGATATCCTTGACACCTTTGATATCTCACTCGGCCATCTTTTAGCCTGGAACACCTGGCTTGCAGAGGGAGAGTGTACCACCGCGCTCTTCGCTAACATCCCCGACTACGAGGACCGCTCCGTGTGCGTGGGTGTTGCTTTGTAGTGTTTATCTAGTGTGGATGTAATAAACAAGGATAGATATTATATATTGTTCAGGTATTGGGGGGATGGCGGGGGCTGATATGCTGGGTATTGGAAGTTAGGGCTTTGCCAATCCCATGATGGGCCGAGGGTTCCGAAAATATATAGTCGTCGATCCTATTTGAAAACATTCTTATCAACATCCATCTTTCTTTTCATCACACATTCAACGCCGAAATGAACCCAAGAATTGTTTTCCAGACCAAGGTGATCATCAATAGGTTATCTAGCATCGCTCGCCTAATAACTCCCATCCGCCGCCGCCTTACACCCCCGGTCTACATACCGCGGCTCCTCCAACCCTCCCAGCAGTCAGCTCATTTCTCAACCACAACCACAGCCAGAGGCCGCGCCCTCCCAATAGCCATCAACGGGGAACTCCAAATGTCCAACCGAACCCCGGATGGCTTAACAGCACATAACGCCGCCGATACCCTGGAGCGGCTAATGGAAGCCGACGGATTCCGCAAATGGGGCTTCGCCATCTACAGGTGCACATACGAAAGCGACGCCGAGTGGGACGCCTTCATGACGCGCCTCTACGACGCCGTCACGGAGCTCCTGGAGCTGGGCAATGGACTCGACATCCTCGAGTCCTTCGCGCCGACCGTTATCGAGGACCCTTCCTTCGCGGGCGCGACAACCGCGACGCTCCGCGAGCATTTCCGCAGCACCTGGGTGCCCAGCGCGTTTGCGGATGAGAACCCGCGTCTCTCGCCGCGTATTTTGTCGGCGGCGGAAGGCGGGCGCTACCGGTTCTTCATTATGGTGGATCGGGACAGTCTGGAGTCTGTGCTCCAGGCGCCGGGGGAGGACGAGGGGATAAATCGCACGGGGTATGTTCGGCTTGTGAGGGGCGAGTGGGAACCTCAGGAGAGGGAGGGGGAGGGGGAGGGGGTGTCGGAAGACGGAGACGAGGAAGACGAGCTCGTGCCCCTGGAGGGATCTACGGCGGAGGATGTGGGTTGGATGAACGTGGTCTATGATGATGCTCAGCTCACGGCGTATCTGAAGATCCAGTGTGACTGGGACTTTGAGGACCATTACGAGCGCCCGCCGGCTATCCGGATGCTCGAGTAGGCGTAGGTGCTTTTCTTTATTTTTCTGTCTTTCAGTTGGATACTAGACAAAAGATATTCTCACTAACAGGCTCGTCCATATTGGTTGTATTTGTATGATTCACAGTATCAAAAGAGAGACCTCACTGTCTACTATAGTCTTCTGCTTGCCACATAAGATTCTTCTCCAACATCGCCGACGGACTTGTCAAGTCGAGTCAGGTCTATTTAAGTGCTCCTAGGTCTTGGAGACACTGCAATAGCTTTTGCTTTTGAGAACAAGACAGTAAACTCGTGTTTGAGTAATGTAGTCTGGATATTTGTGACGCGTCGAAGAATCTGCATCTATATCGAGTATGCTGTTTAGCGTGGGAAAAGCTCCTGAAGTTTATGATGGGTTTCATTACCTATGGTGTTTGAAAGGTTAAAAGAGTTGAAACATTGGGACGGGGCCCAGGCTCTTTGTAAAGGCGCCCGGGGCCGCTTAGCGGGTCAGGGGGAAGGCGCAGCCCTAACTTGGGAACATTTGCCAGTGGCTGAAGGCCCTTGTTCGTTACTATTCTTATTCCTGAAACATAGCTTTATCATGAGCAAGCTCGCCCGTGGCACGTCTAACGTAGTACAGATTATCAATTTGGCGCATTAAAGCTCCGCTGGGCGCCCGGGTCTTTGCGCATTGAATTGTTCCCTGACGCAGATTATGCGAGAGTCTAAGCTGCTACCTCCCATAAAAGAACAAACAGAGCTTGTCTAGCGCCACAATGCGTTATGGTCCAAAGCGCTGGAATTTTAAATTTCCTCGTGGGCGTGTGGCTATGAAACAAACACAGTCTCCAACCAGCTATCCATGTGTCAGAGCCTGTCTCGGTTTGCGCCCTAGCCTTGGAGGTTCAAAGAATGAGGCAGTGCCTGTTCTTGATCCAGACAGGCGAAGAAAGCGTCTTTGAATCTGTGAAAACTGCCATGAATGAGCTACATGGTTCAATGAATGCACGGTAGAAACAGCTGTAGCTGAAGGACCACGGGCACATGGCTACGAAGGGTGTGGCTTTGTTTGCTAATACATTTTTTGAGCTATAAGATAAGTGGAAGAACAAGATACCTGGACTTCTCTTCTCCATATAAGATACCGAATTTTGTCCAACTTAAAATCATTCTAGCAACGCAAGTAATACCCTTTTCCTAGTTTAAGAGGTTCCTGCTAACAAACAAGTAAAGATGTGCACTAACATCCGTGGCCGATTCGGCGTCTGCGGGCACGAAGTCACCATCCACATTAGCATGTGCCGCGCAGCGCAACAGCAGAATAATATGTGTCCCCCGGACCAACGGCCGGACGTCCACGACTGGCGAGAGGATGAGGAAGATCAGGCGTGTCCGGCTTGTCGAGGGATGACGCCGCCGCAGACGCCTTGAAGGTATCGTCGTGTCATAATGTCATGCTTCTTCTTTCTGTATACCTAGATAGCACATTCACAAAAGCTAGTTCAGGCAGAATTTCCCATGTTAAAATAGTAACAACTTCTACTTAACTCTACTACTCATCTGGTATTGATAGCTTGATTCAAGTATATGGTTAGGGCTGGTAACCTATCCTTAACCCTAATTTAACCCTATCAGTCCTAGCCCATACATGCAACATGTAGTTTACTACCTACCTACCTAGTTTCGCCCGCTTAAATGGGTTTAGGGTTTCTAATACTGGAATAGGGTGATGCAAGCAATTTACTCATCACATCTGACACGGCGATGCCAACCCCGGGACATCAGTCGCACGGCCCTGCCTAGTAAGGCCAGGCATGTCAAGCGATCTGCTCCTGTCGGTATATGCAAGCTTATATCCAGATGTCCGTGCATCAGCTATGGACCAACGCGATTCGCTGAATCGAAATCAGAACCAGAACCAGAACGAGACTTGACGGCATAGACAGACCCCGAAGAACCAGAGCGTCCCATGGATGCATGTGATATACCACAGTCCACTCTTCCCCAAACCTATTTATCTCCCCCGACTTCCGGACCTCACATGCAGCAGCAAGGCACTCGGCCTCAGCACCTTGAGCACAGTAATATCACATCCAACCCACCTACCATCCCCCAACATGCCCCTCAAGCTCATCTCCCTCAAATACCGCCTCCCCACCGTGACCCCGGAAGCCTTCAAACGCGGCTACAAGGAGCACGTCACAGCCATCAAGGAGTGCATGGGCGAGACATTCCCGCTCTCAATCCAAATGCACTTCATCAGCAACACGCAAAACGCGTCCTCCAGCTCCGCCTCCGCACCCACAGTGATCCCCGAGGGCGCGTTGCAGGGTGCCGACGGCAGCGCCGTGCCGCTGACCATCAAGACGGAGTTTGGGTTTGACGCCGTCAACGTCCTTACCTTTGCCGATGAGGCGGCGTACGCGGCGTTCCAGGAGAAGTTTGTTAGTGATCTGCGCATGCGGCAGCTCAGGGAGAAGGAGTTGGACTTTGCGTGTGGGACGCGGTTGGAGATTGCGGTTGTTGAGGAGGTCTTTGAGGTGCGGAGGGGGTAGGCCTAGGGCCTTGATGGGGTGGTGGGCTTGCTTGGGCAGGAGGAGGGGGCTGCCTCGGTGGTGTGCGTAGTCTGGGTGGTTGGGTGGTGGGAGACTTGGAATGGATGGTTGTGACGAGGGGGATGCAGCCAGCAGGAATGGAATGAAAGTCATGCATCAAGGCAGGGATCTGACACAACATTGGAGGCATTTGTTTTGAGTTCTGCTTCTAGCTCTAATTCTGTGACGACCAGAAAACTCTAGCAAAGAAACATAGCCAATCAGTTGAAGAAACGCGAGCCTTCTGTCCCCCAAAGAAGCAATGCTAATGCTACCCAGGCCACCACCACCACCACTACTACTACAAGATGATCATTCGCACGATCACCTAGGTATGCTTGGCCCGCGCGCAAACAGCCATTCAAAGCCTCTAGATAAGCATATTTCATTCCCGCCCAGCTCTGTTAGATGTATTGCACTCACAGTCAGCTCGCCAGCTTGCCCGAGATCAAATCCGACTCAAACTTGGCCACAGCAGTCGCAGTCCAGATCTCAATTTGACCGTCACGCAGGGAGACCTCGGGCCAAGCTTTCTCGCGGAAGTCTCCCGGAAGACCAGGTTGCCGCTGCCGCCACATTCGACGCCATAAGCCCGTGCCATGGATCTATCTGCTGTGCTGATTGCGCACAGGCCGCTCGGGAGTCTGGAGCTGCAGACCGCACGCTCAAGGGAGCATCCCTACGGAGTAACATTGTGAGACAGCTAGAGGTCTATCCGGCCTACCCAATTGGCCGGCCCAGTTCCGAGCCTCGGAACTGAGGAGGACGACACTTGGACGGGTGGCGAGCGTCGAGGAGGTTGCGATGCGGTCCTTTGCTTAATCTCGTCGATGGGAAGTTATGTTATTGGGGAAGCGTTGATGATGTCCAGGTGGATGGGGGCTTCGCGCTTTAGGTGATTGGCTTTCTGCATACGATCGGACTCTTGGATTTGTCTGCAGTAGTGAGGCCTATCGGTCAGGTTTCTCTGGAATAAACAGGTTGAAGTAAAAGCAGTAGATTCCAATGTGGACTTCGTGGCCAGGTTTGATTTATGCCACTATGCATGTCCATAGCCGATGCAGGTTATACATCAACACGCTCACCACAAACCCAACAAGCCCCAGTAGAACCCCGCCCAAGATTCGCGCTGCCTGCCGCATATCACGTTCCCGTCCCCCCGCAGCATTTCGGTCGCGCAGCGGGCGCGGCAGGTAATCCAGCGTCACGGCGGTCTCCATGTAGAGTAGGTTGAGGTAATACGAGAGGCGCCCGATGAGGGGGCTGATGAAGCGGAGCATAAGCCAGCCAGCCAAAGTTTCGAGCGACTGCGACCGGGAAGCCCGGTGGGAGTACATGCAAATCCCGCAGAGTCGGTTCCGCAGCGGCACATAGTACTCGGACAATGCACTGCTAATGGCTGCATTGGGGTCTTGCAGGGTGGTGTGGGTGTTCGTGTTCAGCTGGCGGAGGGCGTTTGCCAGCGCCACAGCCGATTCGATGCAGAGGTTTGCGCCAATACCGAAATTCGGGGTGAGCTTGTGGTGGCGGGCGTGTTAGCTCTGGTCGACTCGATGGTTTAAGTTCGACAAACTCACCTTGAAAGCTGCATCGCCGATGCACGTCATGCGGCCAGCTGACCAGGTCTGCAGGAGCCCTTCGTGGCATGCAGTCGATGTAATCGAGGATGTTCTCTGCCAAAGATCGCGGAAGGTGACCTGCGGTCGAATGGTGTAGTCGCCGAGCTGTTCGAGCTTGGCGGCGACGTCTTCCTGCGACCAGCTTGGGACGTCAGGGTGGATGTATGTGCGATCTGTCTTGATGATCGCAAACCAGGTAATCGTGGTGTCTGGGTACGGAATCACCATGAACAAGCAATGAGGGTGGGAACGCAAGTACAGCGGGCCTGGTGGCAGGGCTTGAGCAACCTCCTCAGCTGACCCGGTCATGCCCACGATCGCGTAGTAGTCGACTTGCATGCTGCGTTTGTCTTGTTCTAGACCCGGGTTCGGTCCTCGAGTCGAGGTTTCCGCCGTCCGCCACATCGCATCGCGAACAACACCGTGAGTCCCGTCGGCACCCACAACCACGTCCCCTGTATACTGCTCTCCGAACTCGGTGGTCACCTTCAATGGCCCGTGGGGATCTAAACTCGAACTCGGGTCGATCTTGATAACTCGAGTGCCCGTCTTGACTTTTGACAGGTCCTCTAGCGACGTGTATAGAGCATGGAGAAGATTTCGCCGGGTGATTGCCGTTACTGGATAGCCCATTCTGGACCAATGACCGGTGTTAGTTAGGTTTGATAAGCACAGTGGAATACCAAGGAGATACCCCGCAGTGTAGAAACCAGGCGCTGTGATATCGAACTTGAAGTCTCCCGGAAGCGCCAGTTGGTACTTGTCCAAGTCATGTCTGCATTGTTTGAGCCGGTCGAAGACGCCAAGTTGGTCTAGAATACGGCAGCCGGGGGGTTGAAGAGCAACGGATGCGCCCAAACTGGCCAGAATGTCCTGATGCTTCTCAAGCAGGACGTAATCGATCCCAGCCTTGTCCAGGCAATGGGCGAGGGTGAGTCCGGTGATAGAGCCACCAATGATAACGACTCGGAGAGAAGGTTGGTTGTTTTCACAAGCCATAATGTCGAGCGAAGTCAATACTTCACAATCAAAACTGTCTGAATAAATAGATGGAAGGAGGTAGAATCCAATGACAGCTGTGTCTCAAGAGATAGGTGGAAGGACGGTAGATCAAGGTTGTTGAACACCTCCCTGTCCAGTCCAGGGATATGTACTGAGTTGAGGATGGTGGTAGAAACCTCGGAGCCCGAAACCTCGCTGCTGGGATGTGCTTGAGCTAGTTGAATGTGAAAGCTGTTGGAGCATCCCCGGGCAGACCGTGTATGCTGCTCGAAGTTGTGCCGTCCGACTGCACCAATGGAATCGACATGCTAGCTTTCAGATGACGGCAGGACCCGGGGTACGTGCTTCCATGCATAATCCTTGCATCTTGTTATCCCTGGCCCCCTCAACTGGCGATAAATACACCATCGAGCGCTTGGTCTCGGTGCTTAAGATTCCACCCTTCCTGACCCTCCATCTAAGCCCAACAATGCTAGCTGAACACAATGCCAGCTGAGCCCATCGCCATTATTGGAACCAGTTGCAGGTTCCCTGGGGACGCAATCTCCCCCTCTCGCCTTTGGGAGCTGTTGAAACATCCCCGCGACGTAGCGTCCGCTCCTCCTCCCACCCGCTTCGACGCCCTCGCCTTCTACCATAAGGATGCAGGCTACCCTGGAACTGGTAACAGTCCAGAAGCCTACTTCCTTTCCGAGGACCCTCGATGTTTCGATGCGCCTTTTTTCAATATTTCCTCCGCGGAAGCGGGAGCCATGGATCCACAGCATAGACAGCTCCTAGAAGCAGTCTTTGAATCACTGGAAGCAGCCGGGCTTCGCCTTGACCAGCTTCGAGGCTCGTCAACCGGCGTCTTCTGCGGCCAAATGAGCTCGGAGTGGGGTGAACTGGTCTCGATAGACTTTCAGGCCGTCCCCCCACACGCTGCCACCGGTGGCGCCCGCAGTATCCTAGCCAACCGTGTCTCCTACTTCTTTGACTGGCATGGTCCGTCGGTGGTTGTAGACACTGCATGCTCATCCAGCATGGTTGCCCTCCACCAGGCTGTCACCGCTCTCCAGCAGCAGGAGTGTCCTGTAGCAATCGCCGCGGGCGTCAACCTCCTCCTTACTCCGAATTTCTTCATCACAACATCCAAGATGACAATGCTGTCGCCGGATGGCCGCGGTCGGATGTGGGATGCTAACGCCAATGGCTATGCAAGGGGAGAAGGTGTTGCTTCGATCGTTTTGAAGAGGCTCTCCGACGCCGTGGCCAATGGCGACCCGATCGAGTGCGTAATTAAAGGGACTGGCGTCAATCAGGACGGTCGAACACTTGGACTTACCATGCCTTCTGGCACGGCTCAACGGCGACTGATTGAAAGCACGTATGCCCGCGCAGGGCTGGATCCCCGCAATCCTCGAGACCGCTGTCAGTACTTTGAGGCCCATGGAACTGGGACCTTGGCCGGTGATCCCCAGGAAGCCTCCGCAATCCATGGCGCCTTCTTTGGCGAGCAAGGCGACGACGGCAACTCACACAATTCGAGTCCCTTGTATGTGGGTTCAATCAAGACTATAGTGGGCCATACCGAAGGCTTGGCCGGGTTAGCTGGTATCATCAAGGCCTCACTATCAATCCAAAACAGGACAATCACCCCAAATCTCCTCTTCGAGACTTTGAACCCAGCGCTAGAACCGTTCATTGCGCATTTGAAGGTTCCTACCGAACCAATGGCCTGGCCAGCCCTTGCGAGAGGCGTTCCCCGCCGCGTCTCGGTTAACTCGTTTGGATTTGGAGGGACCAATGCTCACGCCATTCTGGAAAGCTATGAGCCGCCAGAGTCGGACATCGGACTCAACGGGGCCCATACTATCAATGGAGCAGATGCAGCAAATGGGCTTAATGGGCACACTCCGGTCTCTGCGTTACTCCCGTTTGTTTTCTCCGCTGTGACTGCAAAGAAGTTGGCCACCGTTTTGAGCATATACCAGCAGTATCTCCGGGACAATCCCGCAACTTCGTTGATGCAACTTGCAGCTACCCTCATAGAGCGACGATCCGCCTTGACGTACAGGCTAGCCCTAACCGCCTCCACTGCCGACGAGCTGCTGACGGAGATTGACAAGCATTTGAGAGATGCTCAGAGAACGCAGATGCTGCCCTTCATGGCCGAACGTGCCCGTGCCGAAAATAGGCGGCTAGTTGGCGTCTTTACAGGCCAGGGCGCACAATGGCCACAGATGGGCGCTGACCTGATTACCAGCTCTCCAACAGCCCTTAAATGGATTGGCGAAATGCAGCAGTCCCTCGATGGGTTACCCAGCAAGTACCGGCCGTCATTCTCCCTCTTGGAGGAGCTCTCCAATGCGTCGGCCCCGCTCCATACCGCGGGTCTCTCCCAGCCACTCTGCACAGCGCTGCAGATTATCCTCGTCCGATTCCTCAAGTCTCTGGGCGTCTCATTCGATGCCATTGTCGGCCATTCATCTGGTGAAATCGCTGCAGCATACGCTGCAGGATTTCTGACAATGTCGGATGCAATTCGTATTGCTTATCTCCGGGGTTTCGTCGCTTCTCAAGCTGGAGCGGGGGATGGTCAGCCCGGAGCGATGATGGCTGTTGGGATGTCCAGTACAGAAGCCGTCGAGATTTGTAACCGTCCAGAATTTAAAGGTCGAGTTATGCTGGCCGCAAGCAACGCCCCATCCAGCGTTACCCTGTCCGGAGATGCGGACGCCATCCATCGACTCGAGGAGGAGCTGAAAGAGGAGAACAAGTTTGCACGCCTGCTCCGTGTAGACACGGCATATCATTCTCATCATATGCTTCTGTGCTCTTCGGCATACAGGGAAGCTTTGAACAAGTGCAATATCCAGATCCACGCACCTGGATCCGACACGAAGTGGTACTCGAGTGTGTACCCAGGCGTGGTTATCAATCTGTCCAAGAGCTCATCCTCGCTAACGGGTGAGTACTGGATAGAGAATATGGTAAGCCAGGTATCATTCACGGAAGCAGTTGAGGCCGTTGTGACGCATCTGGGAGAGCCTTCGTTAGTGATTGAAGTTGGTCCACACCCGGCTCTGAAAGGCCCAGCGCAGCAAACATTTGCTTCCGTTCTTCCTGTCGAGTCCGATGTGCCCTATGTGGGTGCCCTGGAGCGCGGAAGTGCTGGTGTAAAATCAATGGCGTCAGCCATTGGGAGAATCTGGGGACATCTCGGACCGCAGACCATCGATGTAACGAGCTACGCCCGGCTCTTCAACTCGCACTGGAAGATAGACCTCGTAAAGGACTTGCCTAGTTATCCTTTCAGCCATGAAAAGGCATATACATTCCACAAGCGACTCGTGAACCACCATTTATTCAAACGGGGCCCGCCCAACATCCTCATTGGCTCCTTAGAACCCACGTCCGGAGACAGAGAATGGCGATGGCATAATTATCTGAAGTCCGACATCCTCCCATGGCTTAGCGGTCATCAGATCCAGTCGCAAACGGTTTTCCCCGCCGCTGGTTACATTTCGATGGCTTTTGAAGCAGCGAGTGTAGTTTGCGGGGATAGGCCGATTCGCCAGGTGAGAATTGAAGACTTTGTCATACGCCAGGCTATCGTCATGCCAGAGGACGATCCCATTGGCATCGAGACTCTCTTCAGATTGGCGAAAGTTACTGAGAGCAAAGTCCTTCAAAGCACGGTGGGCGAATTCCAAATCGACGCGACTACCGGCGACTCGTTGCAGACTCGCGCTTCCGGTCGATTGACCATTCTCTGGGGTCAACCAGATACCAAAACTCTTGCCCGGGGTGAACCCCCACCGTGTGACGCCCATCCAGTGGATCCGAATGACTTTTACGCCTTTCTTTCCACCCTGGGGTACGGATACACTGGTCCATTCAGAGGAATCCAAAGTCTCACTCGCAAAAAGGACCTGGCATTTGGGGAGCTATGCAATGACGTGTCGTTCGGACACAGCACTCCTGTCGTTGACTCTCCCGGTCCCCAGTTGCATCCCGTTGTGCTGGACTCCGCGCTTCAGGTCGTTCTGGCGTCTCTTGGTGCACCTGGAGATGGTGAGATCTATACTCTTATGGTGCCGACCAGCATCAAGAGTATCGTCATTAACCCGGTTTTCTGTGGTGCTTCCGGAACAGCGGCCGCAGGCAAGATATTGTCCGCACGAGGAGAATGTACCAAGCTTGACTCGGACGGTTTCTCCGGTGATTGTGATATCTTCACGCAAGACGGCCATGGCCTCGTCCAAATCGCTGGAGTTGAAGTCTCGCCTCTGCAACAACCCTTGGACAGGCGGCAACTCTTCTCGAAGCTTGTTGTGGGACCCATTGAGCCCAAGGACTGGATACTGCCACCGAGGTCGTCGGAAATCACAAAAGTACTTAAGCTGAGTGAGCTGATCATATTCCTTTACATGAGGTTTTGCCTTGATGACCTTACCGAAGAGGACCGACAGGGGCTTGACTGGCATCGGCAGACCGTCGTTTCTTGGATGGAGCACACTTTGGCCATAACTCGGGAGGGAAAACATCCCCTGTTGCGCCGTGAGTGGTTGGAACTCACGCGAGATGATCTTGATCGTCTTCTGGAGCAAGGAACTGTTATTCCGGCCGCCAGAATGGCCGCCATAGTGTATGAGAATCTTATCGGGTTCATCCGTGGTGAGACGTCGCTGCTGGAGGAACTGCGCAAAAATGATGCCCTGACGCAGTTCTATAAAGAGGATACCAGTATAGCCGCCATGAACGAGGGTCTCGGGCAGCTTGTTAATCAGATGACTTTTCGTTATCCAAGGATGAAAATCCTAGAGATTGGCGCGGGCACTGGCTCGGCGACACGCGCTATTCTCAGTCGCATTGGACTTGCTTGCCATTCATATACCTTTACTGATATCTCAGTGGCTTTCTTCGAGGACGCAAAAGTAGATCTCGAGCCCTATGAAGATCGAATGATTTACAAGGCATTAAACATTGAGCGAGATCCAATTGAGCAGGGCTTCGAGGAGCACTCGTACGATCTCATTGTGGCGTCAAACGTCCTACACGCGACGAAATTCATGAAGCCGACGATGGAGCGGGTCCGTCGCCTCTTGAAGCCCGGTGGGTACCTTGCACTGCAGGAGGTCACCAATCTAGACATGATCGCGAAGACGTGGTGTTTCTCCACGTTTGACGGGTGGTGGGCAGGGCATGAGGACGGACGCGTCTGGGGTCCTATGGTCAGCCCCTCAGGCTGGGACCAGCTGCTGAAAGACACGGAATTTAGCGGTATCGACGTATTCACCACAGCTGCGGAGGATGAGAGATACTGTGACACTTCTCTGATTATCAGTCAAGCTGTGGATTCGCACATCCGGCTGCTGCGAGATCCTTTGGCTTTCAACACTGATCCCTTGACCTTGTTCCCCCGGCCTACCGAACTCGTCGTCTTGGGTGGAACGGAGAACTGGGCGAGGTCTCTGGCGGGCGATTTGTCGACCCTTGTGGAATCTCGCTTCACAGGTGTCATCCATGCAACCTCTCTTGACTCACCGGCATTGCTAAATATTTCTGATGATAGCAGTGTCGTTGTCCTGAGTATGCTTGACCTTGGGTTGTCATGGTTTGATGACCTCAATGAGAATCGCCTGCAGTCAATGCAGCGCTTAGTGTCAATGGCCGACAAGATGTTGTGGGTGACTGTCGGGCCAGAAAGCGAAAGGCCTCATTATGGCCTTAGCAGTGGTTGGCTGAAATCCCTCGTTCAAGAGAATCCCAAGTCCCTCTATCAATACTTTAATATCGACGACCAGAACGACGCCACTCCATGGCTGGTAGCGACCGTTCTCATGCGCCTCGCTTACACCCAAACCTCCAATGACTTCACGCATCCTACCTGCCTTCACACCACCGAACTGGAACTGTTCTTCAAGGACGGAAAGATACAGGCAGTTCGCTTGCAGGACGACCAAGACAACAACGATCGGTATGCGGCGGTCAGAAAGAAGGTGGCTAAGAAAGTCGATTTGTCGTCAGCTAGCGTTAATGTTACCCAGACGCCAGACGGTCACCATGTCATCCAGATTGCGGAGGCCGACGGTCGAATGCCTTGCAATGGTGTCGTTGACTACATTCGTGTACGGTCGCGGTATGCCACCGTTCAGGCAGTGCGAATTGCAAATGACGTGTTTCTTCACTTGGTGATTGGAGTGGACGAGAATGGCTCTCGATTGCTTTGCTTAGCGGACCAGCACAGCTCGCACTTCCAGGTGCCCAAGGAATGGACTCTGGAGGTACCATTCGAGATCGGGGAGGACCATGATGGCGAGCTTCTCAAGGCCGTGGCCGATACGGTGGTTGCAATCTTCTTGGTTGAACGGGCCAAAGATAACTCAGCGCTCTTCGTTCATGAGGCTGGAGACGTAGTTCGCAAGGCGATCCTCAGCCAAGTCTCCCACCGCAACATGGAAGTATTATTTACTACGAGCCGGCGTCTTCCACCTGAAGGGGTCTACGAGTTGCCGTCCACTGCTTCAGCTCGGGCTCTGCGAGACATCCTGCCGCGGGAAATCTCTGTGGCCGCATGCTTAGACCTTGAAGAGAACAGCAGATCAATATTTTCGCACTTTGATCTAGTGCTATCCCCCGAGGTCATCCGCGAGGCTGTCAAAACTCTCTATAGACCATCCGTACTCAACCCTAAGAGTGCGCTCATGTTTGGCAACCAACTTGTGGCCAAGCTCCGTGATTTGAGCCCAGCAATATTGGGGTGGATGAAGGAATGCTCCTCGACTATCGGGGTCCCTGCTAACGAGCTGGCAACTCAAAAGGTCTCAGCGGATAGCATCGTTGACTGGACACAATGCTTTTCTCTGATAGCCCATATCCAGCCTTCAGCCTCACTCGTCCAGTTATCAAGCCAGAAGACGTACCTCCTGGCCGGTATGGCAGGCGACTTTGGCCAGTCCATTGCCCAGTGGATGGTAACTAGAGGCGCTCGTCATATAGTCCTAGCCAGTCGTAACCCGAAAATAAATACCAAGTGGATCGAGTCGATGGCGCGGAAAGGGGCGCGCATGGCTCCGATGGCCCTGGACTTGACGAGCCGTGAGTCAGTAATAGATCTTTTCCGCGAAATTCAACAGTGGTATCCCCCGATTGGCGGTGTCGTCAATGGAGCCCTAAACTTGGAAGACAGCGATTTCCTCCAGACATCTGTGGACATCATTCAACGAAACATGGCACCCAAGGTTGAGGGCACTCTTTTCCTTGATGAGCTCTGTGGCCCAACCGTCAACCTAGACTTTTTCATTGTCTTTGGGTCCTTGGCTGGGATCTTTGGTAATGAGAGTCAATCGGCATACGCGGCTGCGGTCTGTTTTCAAAATAACCTAATCCATAGGCGGCGTGCACGCGGCTTGGTGGCGAGTATCATACACCTCGGTGTAGTCAATGGCATTGGAATCTTGGCCCGCAAGGGCCAAAACCTTATCCAGCATATCCAGAGCACCACAGGCTCCTATCTCCTCTCCGAGAGGGACGTCGACCGCTTTTTCGCCGAGGCTATTGTCGCCGGCCGTCCCGAGTCTGGCCGCCACCCAGAAGTCATCAACGGAATGATGAAACGCGACCCCGAGGACGTCGAATTGAGATGGTATCGCAAGCCTTTGCTTTGGGGGTTTGTGGACTATTGCGTCAAATCTGACCAGCGAAGATCTAACAAAGGTAACAGTGGCAGCAATAGCTCCACCATAGCGCAGCTGGAATCGGCCACAACCTTGGACCAGGTCACCGGAATTGTGGAGGCTAGTCTCATAACCAAAGTCCGCAGCAAATTCAGCCTTGCGGACGATTATCCCCTGACGGCTGCGACCCAGCTTCGTGAGCTGGGTATGGATTCGCTGGTCGCTGTCGATCTGCGCAAATGGCTTGCAAAGGAGCTGGCAGTCGAGATTCCTCTGTTGGAGATTCTGAATGGCGGATCCATTAGGCATTTGACAGCCGAGGCGGTTGCGGCGTTGCCGCAGGGGTTCGTTGCCAATGTAACTGATAGAACTTGATTGAGAGTGCTGCGTGGTAGGACTCCCGTTGGGAAGAGGAAACGATGCGGGTTATGATGTCGATGAAGATCTAGGGGCCGAACTTCTTCGAATCAGGTATATGTTAGAGCGGAGTCCGAGTCATTCGTTGCAGTCAGAAGCTGGAGCCTTCGAACGGACTGCCTAACGAGGTGGCACCCAATGTTGCTCACGGCCAATGTTGATCATTTTCTGCATAACCGCGCCTCTTGATATCCTTTCTTTTCGCTGGCGTGTAGAATTTCGTCGGCTCATAATAATAGTGCGGTATGATGAAGACGCATATGTCGCAGCGATTGTAAGCAGTTACCGCTAGGTACTCGGGGATTATCAAGAGGAAATCAGAAAGCAGAACACCAGCAGGCGGAAATATATCTTCGTGCATCATGTGACCAGGCTTGGCAATGTATCACAGCCCCTCAACTTGACAACTTCATCCTCCTCTTAACCATTGATTTGATCGACTGCGGTCAATGAGAAGCTCATCGCATTGGATTTGTTTGTCTCACGATGTTGCCTGGAAAGTTTGCCTGGTCTCTCCTCGTCCTATCAAACGAGATATGCGCGACAAAGCTGCTAATGTACTTGACAGGGTGAGTTGCCCACGCCAGCCCAACACACCAGTCAAGCTAACTTGGAGCACAGGCAGCACAATCTCGTCCCTGAGGTCTCTCTGGCATCAGAAATAACCCACGTTGCATTGGCCTTTATGCACTCCTCAACCTTCAACCGGAATAACAATGAGTCAACCTGGCCTCTTTTCACCACTGTCGAAGCGGCACGCGCCAAGTTCTCCCCGGGGATACCTATAATGGTGGCCATTGGCGGGTGGGGAGATACGCAGGGGTTCTCTGAGGGCGCTCGGACGGAGGAAAGTCGGAAGTTGTTTGCATCGAATATCAGGAGGATGCTGGATGATACAGGGGCGGATGGTATTCTCCTTTCCGAGCAGATCTCCGAAGAAATCGTTGACTGACGGTTGCAGGCGTTGATATTGACTGGGAGTATCCTGGGTAAGTTTTTACGTGCCCCCGCCCCCCCTTCCGCTGTCTACCTATGGCGTCACATAAGCCCGTTACTAACCTTCCCCTTTCAGCGGCAACGGTGACGACTACAAGCAAACGCCAAACTCCGAGAAAGCGTGGGAGATCGCAGCCTACCCCGAGTTCCTTGCAGAGATCCGGGCAGCTATTCCAGGCAAATTGATATCCGCCGCCGTCCCTGGTCTTCGACGAGACATGCTGGCCTTCACTAAGGAGACTATACCCTCAATCGAGCCCTCGGTGGACTTCTTGAACGTTATGGCCTACGATCTGATGAACAGACGAGACAACGTTACGAAACATCATACTGGCCTGCAGCTATCGCTCGACTCTATCAACGCATATTTGGAGGCTGGAATGCCAGCTGAGAAGCTGAATCTCGGCCTTGCGTACTACGTGAAATGGTTCAAGACCGTCTCGGGGGACCAATGCGCAAGAAAACCCGTCGGATGTCCAACCGTGCCAATGGAAGACCCAACTACAGGCGCAGACCTCGGACAAGCGGGGGCGTTCTCATGGATTGATCGGGTCCCTTCTGAATTATCTGCAAGCTTTGAGAAGGCCAAAACAAACGGAGTGTATGATACTGTCGGTGGCGGCTACTATTTCTGGGACGAGAACAAAAGTATATTCTGGTCTTGGGACACGCCCGACGCTATCAAGCAGAAATTCCCGCAGATTTTGCGGGAGAAAGAGCTGGGCGGAGTGTTTGCCTGGGGTCTGGGTGAGGATGCTCCTGAATTCACGCATTTGGCGGCGACTATTGATGGTCTCCGAGAGACCCCAGCAAAGGATACTGAGGAACATAGGGCTTCGAGTGAGGGCAAGTGTAAGAGGGACGAGTTATGACTTTTCTCACTGGGTTTGTGAAAGCGTGATTGCATCAGCCAGCCTTGCCATCATATCTCCTGCTTCAAAAGAACTGAGATTCATGATGATCGAAAGTTCCATTTCTCAGCAGCTAGTCCCATTGGATACGCCATTCATGTCTTTCCCTGGCTGATTGGAATAGTTCAGGGTACAGTGTTCGCCTTCAGTCCTGAATTCCAAGTCATTCGGCTCATTTGTCCTCGTGTGCTCATTTTGCAAGCAGCACTCCACGTGTCCCTTGACTCTCCAATAAACATCCCTCTCTGCATTCTTACCAACAATCGGATCAAGGTGGCCATAGCCGTCCACCAAGAACCTCCGATACATCCCTTCCCCGAAAGCCCGTCGCAACAACTCATAGTCCTTCAAGGTCGTCTCCGGACTAAACACCTCATTCTCAGACCCAGATATGAAGAGAATCGGGACTCCGCGCAGATTCTCCAGATTCTCGATTGTTAAGAGGGAATTAAGGTTATTGTCAAGACAGCTCCCCGCAGAGTCCATGCGCGTGATATGCTCCAAGCTCTTGGTAGATGTCCCCGTGAAGAACCGATCAATGTTATCGTGGATTCTTCGATCTAGATTCCGATGGTTCCAGAGCAACCCGAACGCAAAGCTTGTGCGGTGGCAGGCTGGCGACGAGCATCTATCCCGTCGGGGAACAGGGTATAGCGAGAGCAAGAAGTCCAGGATACGCTGCGATACTGACTTCGTCCTCGTTGAAAAGTCGATTGGGAAGTACGGACCGTCCAGCAATTCATACGCCCGAATGAGCAGCGGAGATGAGGCCTTGATGGCGTTCCAGTACGCGAAGACCTGGTTCATGAAGACTGAGTTGGCTGTTATGCCGAGAATCTGATCTGCTTTGATGGTCCCTGTCAGCAGGGCCATTGAAAGCGCCACGGAGCCCTGGCAATGTGCTACTATGTATGGCTTTGAATTCTCGCTGGCACGGCCGATGTATTCCAAAGCGGCGGCAATGTCGAGACGGCTGTCGAAGACGGTGCATTCTCCTGCGACTCGCTCATCAAGACCCCATCGTGGCGTTAAGACGTAGCATCGATGCCCTCGGGAGGCGAAATACTCGACCATGTTGCAGCGCTGGAAGGGGAGGGTGAAGATTGAGTGAGCGGGGTTGAGGCCGGTGATGCCCGGGAGGAAGAGTATCGGCGGCTGCTGTGAGTCCGTCTTGGCCGCATTGTATACGTCGAGTTTCACCTTGACGTTGTCGGACGTGACAATTTCGTGGATTGCTGATGGTCTCTGTTTGCCACTGTCTCGACCGTGGCTTCGCTCTTTCTCTTGAGTTCGAGGGTGGGCTCGATCCCAGAAACGCGAAATGAGCGGATGGAAGAAGACGACGATGAGTTGGAACATGAAATAGAGCAAGAACACCACCAGCATTGAAATGTGCGCAGGCTTTTTGGTCTGGTGAAATGTCCTCATTTGCCGGTACAGGGACGACATTCCGGGAATACGTACGACACCGGCACCTATCCTCTCACCTCTGGCGTCCGTCACATGAACTTCCACCGTGGTAGTGGCTTTCCACAACCTTGGGATGGAGAGTGCACTGGACAGATCAATGGTCTTCAGTCCGGTCAATGTCAATTCCGTGCCTTCCACATTCCGGAGTGGTAGGGTATACGACAGCGTTGTTGAATCGGTACCCTGCTCATCTGGAACGAAAAAATCCAGCTCTCCGCTGATAGCCCTCATCGGTAGCCTGGACAGGGCTCGGCATGAGACGGTTCCGGTGCAGATACCCTTATACCTGGGTTCTGTGGCCCCTGATGGATGTCAGTGTTATGCATCCGTAGTACGGGACGTCCACTTACCTTGCACTCTACGATATATCTCGACCGTGAGGATAATTCGCAATAACGATGACGAGATCCTTCCTTCTCGTTCAGCAATATGACAGTCAACTCCTGATGCACTCGCCGGGACAGCAATGTAGCCCTCGAGAGCTTCGGTAAACTCCCATCCTGTCGAGACATAGTCTCCATCCCTGTGCTTTCCTTCCTTACCCGTGGAATGTGAAACTCTCGGCCTGCTGTCAGCATTTATCTCCCCATTCTTCGTCTCAAGGTCAAATTCTAAACATCTCTTTTTCCCAAGCAGCGCCACCGACCGTTCTGCAAGCGCGGTGATTGTCGCAAGCGGATTCACGCCTGCCATTGGCACACAGCCCATGTTAACAGCGATTAATCAACCCGGCATACCGGACTGAGAAGGCTCACTTACCCAAAGACATCGGTATGACCGACGCATCGCAGCACACCAAGCCCGCATGAACTTCCGCCCCGTGCCCCATGAAAACTTGTCCAAGGTGGTTAGTTACTCCTTCGCTACCAGTTCCATTGCGACTCATGGTTGCACCACCGAGAAGGTGTGCTGAGACTTGATCTGGTAGAAGCCTGGGTTAGCCGATAAATCGCCGATTCAAGGGAATCAGCCCAATATGCCCTACCAGAATAACACGAAACCATACTCGCACTAGTACCCCGAACTATCGCGCGCAGCGTATATTTAATTCGGCGAATATTTGCTCCACGCCTCTCCCCAACGGCTTCAAGACGCGGCTCATCGTTTCTCATGGTCATGGTGATTTCGTTGCTGTCGTGCGACATGATCAGGTATGTTGCTGTGCGCTGCATTGCGCCGCCGGGGACCAAGGGGCCGAGAAGGAGGGACTTGAGCACCGCTCTGACCCGCCGTATCTGCTGAAGTGGGCTGCAAAGGAGTGAGAGAAACTTGAAGTTCAGTATAGTCTGCAAGATGAGAAGTATTTGCAGCACAGGCGCAATCGGCTCCGGAATACATCCATCTTCGATGATATACCCTTCCAATGGGTTATTCACTTCCCGGAGGTCAATCATGCTGGTAATTGTTGGACCGGGCCTGTTACTGCCCGCTACGCCATTTATATCTTTGGTGCTGTTGTAGCCTGGCAACTGTCAGCGATAACTTCGTCTTAGGTGCCCCGCCAGATAGAGATAAGGATACCAAAGGCCATCATATTCCCGTTCCCAGACATGTTTCTGCCAGCCATAGGCGACAGGGACAGACCGTGCTTCTTCGAGCGGAGGAGGATCTCAGTCGTCCCGAGCGCCCCTGCACCCAGGAAGCAGAACTCTTTCTGCGAATCATCAGCGACCTCATGCCAGCCTGATTACGTCTGTCCGAGTGGTACATACGGCCCTCACCGACAGCTGCTGCTCTCCGATGCGGCCGCTCTTCTCATGGCAAACAAAATGCACAATATAGGACGAGCCATCCCTTTCAAGATACCGAACCTCACACCCGCAGAAGATCTCCGCTCCCCACACCCAAGCATCCACCAAGTACGTCACAGGAATCGAATTCTTCGACCCATCGTCCAGACCAGTGGATTCGCGCCCGGACCTTTGATTTGCGCACATCGACACGCCACTGGCGTTACGGCCTCGTTCGAAGAACGTGGTTAGCGGGACACGGGAGAAGCTCCCTGCTTTGCCGAATTGCTGGCCGGTATCTTCCAAGTGCTTCGTCTTAGCGGGCAGGTCCGTCTCTGGGTAAGGCGTTGGCTGCAGCATTGTCGAGGCGCGGGCGTAGTCTTTCTCGTCAGCAAACATGTATCCATGGATGCATGACTAGGTCGCACTTACATTCAGCCATTGCATCCGGATCCTCTCTGATTTCCGCCGGCCACGCACTCATCTGTATCACCTCGGGCGTTGCTTCGAGGAAAACACCCGCGTTGATGAGGGAGCCCCCGCCAAGCCCTAATCAGCCGTCAGCTTTCGCTAGGGCAATGGCAGGCGTAGGGTCGACCAGGTTACCATGAGCACAAAACGCATTCTGTTCCTCCCCCAGTCTCAACTGGAACAGTCCCGTCTTTCCATTCCGAAACAACCTCTTCACCAAGCGACTCGGCCCGAACCTCGACCCAGAACCGGAAATATTCAGCTCCTTTGTACATTGCGAGAGCGTGCGAGGGAATGACCCCTCTACATACGTCAGTTCACTTCACTCCAAATCAACTTTGGCTGGGATACATACCCCTCCATTCCCTCCCCACCTCCAACACCGCAACGCCCTTCCCCGCCCGCGCCATGCGACTCGCCGCAACGCCGGCTCCATATCCCGAGCCAACAACCACGACATCATACTCATGCTTCATTTCACCGACAGGGAGACTGAGAATCGGGTAGTCGCCTGGTCGAGTCTCCATCATGCATGTAGGTAGGCAGGGTAGCCTATTGGCGAAAGGTGCAAATTTCAATGGAGATCGACTGTCAGATAAATGGAACTCTAGACCTGAAAACGGGCTTCCCAACCTATATAACAGCGCAGGCGCAAAACCACCCTGTATCTGATCCTGACACATGCGGGCACTGGCCAGAGGCAGCAAGCAATGAGGCTCTCAGCAAACAAGCCGTGAACGCTACCTATAGGATATAGCCTATCTGACCACCCACTCGTCCCGACAGCGCACATAAGCTCCACTCTAGGCTAAGCGTCAGCCTAAGCATGCAGCTAGCATAACTCTGGCGCTACTGCCGAGCCGAGAAAACGCAAATGCTTACGTCGCGTCCAATGGCAGCGCCAGAGAGGAGGGGTACGCATGATAATCCCGAGAACTCGGACGTCCTGGATAGGTAATCAACAGCCTTGTCAACTGGAGATCCACCCGTCGCCTCGACATCAGGAAGTAGCCTAGACGAACCTAGAGCATCAAGACGTGGAGAATATACCACACAGTCCGAGTGACATCTCTGGGCATCATACTGTAGGAATCCTCTCTGCCCCGCAACCCGCTCGCCGATAACGCAGGATGGTCGCACGGCGGAGAATCAAAAGTAAAAACGAGTCGACTACGTGGCCCTCCCTAGCCGCTGGGCTGACAAATGCTGTGCTATGCATGCCGTTTCCCCCGTCTCGGGCCTGGGGATGGATACCATTGGACCCTGGGCACCCGGATTCTGTATTTCATGATAAGCTTTAGCAACGCGGGTGAAGAAATCATGAGATTCTTCCAAGGTTGCTTTGGTTGGACGGCTGGCTACGGGGATGATGCGGAGCCGGAGAATGTCTGCATAGTTCTAAAGATCGTAGCGTTCTAAATAAAGTGTAGAGCATTAACCTTTCTTTCCATTACAGACTAATTAGAAGCCAGTGCAATGCCTTATTATAAGACGACAGACTATGGATTCTTTTAGTATTGCAGGATATGATAGTAGGCTAGCGATATTATGCGCGCTGACTGAATCCTTGGACGACGATCTACTGAGCCCGTATGAGGATATTCTTGATATACTATGGTAGGACCAGATCTGTTTGATGGTGCAGGCTCTTGTTTCAAGGAGAGGTCAACGACAACACCTATGAGCAAAAAGACCAGAACGTTACCTCATCTCGCTCGTGCTACGTATGACCCTGTCCACGAGGCGATATCTATCGTCCGGTATACGGAAATGGGAGATCCCTTGACTCACCCTCGTGGCGTGGACCGGCCCTAGCCCTAGCCCTAACTGGATGGGAATCTCAACCTCAATCAAGACTACCCCGTAGACGCCAAAGGGTATACGAGGAGAGAATAACGGCGGGGTCCGGGGAATATTTGTTGACATTCGACTATATTACCTAGGTGTCTTTCCTTCAGAGCTAGGCCTGGCCCTGCATGAACAAACCAAGCTACCATAGCTTCCAAGGTTCCACCTTGTTCTTTCTCTTTGAACACCCAACCCAACCTGCAATAGCCTAAACAACCTCGACCAAGCACCTCTTCCCCTTCGGCGAGAGCAGGAAATACAACATCATGTCCATATCGGCATCACTCATGCCCTCCTTGCTCGACATCCGTGCTCGGGGGAACGCGCGGAAGAAGGACGCTGTTGCGAGGCGGAGTTCCATCTTCGCTAGGTGCAGGCCGACGCAGTCTAATCCCATCTGTTAGATAATGTTCCTGAATAGGAGATGGAAGGGTGGTAGCATACTCCGCGACCCAGCGCCAAAGGGCATGTAGGCGTCCTTCATGGCCTTGGTGGGATTTTCCCAGCGGGAGGGGTCGAATCTGTGATGCAGCCAGTTAGCATGCAAGGCAGAGTACCAATGGAATATTGAAGCGAAGTAGGAGAGCATAGGTAGGGGGTTGACATACCTCTCCGGATCCTCAAAAACCTCGCCATCCCGATGCAGCGAATACAACTGCGTCGTGACCGTCGCACCACCCGGGATCCAGTGTCCGGCCAGCGTGCTCCCCTTCTCAGGAACAACCCGCGGCAACCCAGACGGAACAGCAGGGTACAGACGCAGCGCCTCGTTGATGACCTGGTTGAAGTACGGCAGGTCACGCAGGTGGACATCCGAGAGACCCTCCTCGTCGATCCCCTCTTCAATCTGCAGCGTCTTAACCAGCGCATCGAGTTCCGCGACGAGTCGGTCCTGGATAGTTCTATCCCTCAGCACCGACCAAACAAGGTACGTCAGCGTATTCGCCGTCGTATCACTCCCAGCGACAATGAAGCTCTGCGCATCGTTGCGTATCTCCCGATCACTGAGACTCTCGCCCCCGTCTTCCTTAACGAGACTGGCATCATACAGCTTCGTAAAGAGCGTCGGCTTCGGCTGGTCCGGATTCAGGGCTAGATGCCGCTTATACCGCTCCACCGACAGGGTCGCATACTCGAGAATGCGATCGGTAGAGACAACAACCTCCTTAAAGATACTCAGCGGCAGCACCTGGCCGAGCGAAATCACCCAGGGAAAGTTCGCGCGGATGCCCCCGATCTTGGCCACGGTCTCCAGGTCCGCAATGTACTGGTTCTTCTTCCCGACCTCGAGCATCCGGAACGAGTCGCCGAAGCTCAGCTCGCCGATGATGTCCGTCGCCATGAAGAAGAACCACTTGTAGATGTCTGCTACGGAGCGTTGGCGTGCCTCCTCGGCCATGCGGGTAACCGCGAGTTGGACGCGTGCTTTGACGAGCGGCTCCAGCGTGCGCAGGTTGTTGTCGGAGAGGGGGGAGGAGAGGAGGCGGCGGTGGCGGCGGTGGTAGTCTGGGTCGATGGTGGAGAAGAGGCTCTCGCCGTCTTTGCGGGTGAGGAGTTTGTAGAAGGGCGCTTTGAGGAAGGGGCTTGCGATGCGGTGGATTTCGCGGGCGGCGGGGATGTCGCTGATGTCGAGGGTTGTGGGGGAGATGCGTACGAGGGGGCCTGCTGGTTAGCTTCTTCTTCTTCTTCTTCTTTACCTCAGGAGGAAGAGAGGTACCGTATTTCTGGTGCAGGGCGTGCACGTAGCGAGGACGCTGCCCGGTGACGGTGTAGTACTTCAGCAGCAGGTCGGTCCATTTCGTGTATTTGGGGCCTGGGAGGGACGAGAGGGGGTTCTTTCGGACTCGGAACGCGATCTACATTCATAAGCAAGACAAGACTTGTTAGTTCTGATCTCCCAGGGCATAGACTGCGTACCGAGAGGAAGTATGCAAACCCGAGCAGGAGCAGGACGGAGGGCAAGTTGCCCGCGAGCTGGAGGTCGGGCAGCATGTTGCAGATGGCCTGAGCAGCACTCAAAATAGAACATTGCTCTGGCTTGTAGAACAGGCCCTTATTTAATAGAAGTCGCCGGCCGTTACACCGGATTCGGTGTTGATGCCAGGCATTCCTCGGTATCTAGGGATGCCGCATTCGGCCAATGCTACATGCCTCCGTTCACTGCGAGTACCATTACTCCCGAGGTCTGATTAATCATCGCTGGAGTATCTACTATCCAGTGGTAATCCGTACGTGATCTAGACGCAGAGGAGATATGAGCAATGGATTCACGCCCTGACACACTCTGCATGTCCTGCCAAACCACCAACCACGAATGACATCCATCTACCACTACGACGCAGAGATCCTCCTCCACGCCTCAATCCGCTGCTGCAGGAGCTCGCCCTGATACGGCTGTTCATACAACACGTGCTTCAGCTCCTCCACCGCCATCTCCATCTCCATCTCCCTCTCCTTCCCTTTCTTCCCCGTCTTCCTCCCCTCCCCCGTCCCACTCCCACTCCCCCTCCCAAACCGCTCAACAATCCTCCTCCCCCTCTCAACCCTCTCCCAAAACACCCTCGCCCCATCCCCAAACCCCGTCTGCTCAACCGGCACACTCCACCCCCCACCCCCGACCTCCACAACATCCAGCCACCGCCGCATATGCGCCCAACGCTCGCCGTCCAGGCCGGGGAAATGCACCAGCATATCGCCCTTCCGGCCTTCAAACGCATGCTTCCACTCGTACGCGTTGATCCAGGGACGCGGGAGGTACGTCACGTTGCCGCGGTAGGCCGACCCGTTCAGGACCCGCTCCATGGCGCTCTGGTCGACCTGCACGCCGAGGTCGGTGGAGGGGTTGTAGGTCGGATAGGCGAGGGATTCGATCAGGAAGCGCACGCTCCACTCGTGCACGCGGATGAAGAATATCCCTGTGTTCAGGCCCTTGTGGTCTTTTGTTGCGACGAGGTGGATTGTGTCGAGTGGGCCTGGGCCCGGGCCTGAGGAGCCTCTCGAGCTGGGACTCGATGAGTCCGGCGGGAGGAAGAGCTCCAGCGGTATCAGCGGGTTGATGATGATTGAGTCGGCGTCGACCCACCTGCTCCGGTTAGTCAGATCTCTTGCGATGTTCTTCTCCTGCCATGCTGAGCTGATCGGACCCTGGTGGCAAGGAGGTACGGTACGGTACGTACATAAACCACTCCACCCTCTCGCCCACAGCCCTCCCCAACTCCCTAATGACCAGCGCGAGCAAATAACTCGGTTTATTCCAGTACCCTTCCGCGATCTCGTGCCGCAGGACCTCCATCCCATACCCCCATCTCTCGGCGTGGCGAGCGTGGCTCTGCAGCGCGCGCTCGTAGATCGCGTTCCTGGGCCCGTACAGCATCGAGGCTTTGGTGATGCGGCGGCCGCGGGGGGGTACAGACAGACTCAAACTTGGCGGTGCGATGCGCCATGGACCGCTAAGACGGCCGGCACCGCTGCAAAGCCGAAATCCAAGAACGAAGACGAGGGAAATTATAAGGATGACGATGAGGGGGAGACGCCGTCGCCGGGGCTGCAGGTGCATCGGGAGATGGGGGATCGCGACCATGTCTTGTCTGTGTCTGTGTCTGTGCCTGGACAGCTGCTACCGCAGCGAGCTTATTGTTTCAGAAGCACGTCGGCATCGAGAAGCTTATCAGCGAGGGCGACGGGTACGACGGTTAGTGGGTAAAGAACCCGATGCAAGGGGTGCTGCATGCCCCGGGCGGTTGGGAACGTGAGGCAGTTAGGGCTTGCCGCCCGCATCCGGCCATGGTGCCGCTTGCGGAGACAGAGCCCACCCTAGTACCGGCCATGCAAGTAGGTGCGACGTTGAGTCTCGTCGGAAATTACCTTAGGTTGGGCGGTGTTGAAAGGCTAGGACCTTTTCCTTGACGGTATGCTTATACCTTCGTCTCATGACGGTTTCTACGGGCGGACGATGGGTCCATGGATACCGCATCCTTCCTTAGCCGACGATCCCGGCTATAATGCTGTCGACGGATATACTTCGTTCGGTATTCGATTCGATCGAAGAACTCTATCTCTATCAATTCTGTGCCTTCGATTTACGAGGCTAGACACGTCTTATCCTAAGCCAAGCCTGCATCGCTCTTGTCTCCTGCAAGCATGAACAGAAACAACATCGTAGGGCCGGGATGCAGCCATCTCAGGGAAATCAATAGATACCATTGACATTGAGTCGCGAGTCCGATTGGAATCCGCATCCCAAGCCAGGAGGTCTACATGGAGCTGCTCAGATAACGGACTGCCCTTCCTACCTAGTAGTTTCCATTGTCCTCCGTCTGACCATATCACACCTATGTAGCAGCGCAACGCTCAAGCTATCAGAGAGAGAACTACAGGTGCGCTCAGCGGCCTTGCTTAGTTCCTAGTATCCCGTCTACACCGGCTACATCAACATCAAGCGTACGCGTACTTCCCAGTATACCATCATACCGCAGACATCCATATCTCCCTACCCAGGCCAGCAGCCTCAAAGGTAGCCCCATCACGAGTCCGGCGCCGTTAGCGCTTGTTCCAGCGCGAGCCCCATATGGATTGTCACACGCCGGAGTGGAGCAGGGATCATAGCAATGGAAGAGAGATCCACAATGCAATGGCTCACGCGCCGTCTCATCAGTAACGGACGCCAATCCTAGGGCCAGCCGGTGTCTGGGCGACCATCCGGTGCATCCGGTGCTTATGGGGCGGGGATGGCTGTTGGCTCTGGCTGTTGGCTCTGGCTGATGGGGAAGGCTGATGATTATTAGCTATGGATGATGGGCATGGCTGATGGGATGGGGATGGTTAGGCTTTAGCTCGTAATGTAGTGGGGGCGAGAGGGATTTTTGGGTGAGATGGACTACGTAGACCTATGTAGGCCGGTGAGAGTGAGACTGGCTGGTCGGGGACATGGGTTGAGCAATTGCCGCGGAATAAGCGTAGGAGGGGCTTATGTGAAATGCGAATGTACCGAGTAGAAGACGGCGTGACGGAACGAAAAGCTCAAGGATCTACACTGGCTACCTGGAGCCATACAGAATAGAAAGCAAAGTAGACGGGCAGTAGCTGGCCAATGCATTAAGACCTCAACGGATACACCCTAGATGTGAAAGAATACCTAGCCATACGGCAGCTACAGAACAAACAAGCAATGCCAGCCCAAACCAATCCAAATGCCAAAACCCATCATGCAACCAACCCCAAACCCCCCTACCCCCTCAAATCCTCCAACAACCCATCCAACCTCCTCCTCAACTCCTCACACAACCCCTCATGCCTCCCCGGACTCGACCCCCCAGACCCCACCCCAGAGGCCCCGGAAGGCAAGCCCATAAACCCCATAACCTCCATAAGCCTCCCCAAACAAACCCCAGCCCGCTTAACCTCCTCCCCAAACGCCTTCCGGCAATACGCCATCTGCTCAATCACATCCATCTCAAACGCCCCATACCGCACCCACCCTCCCCCAGGCGCAGGCGGATCCGCAAAGCTAACCCCAAGGCCCTCGTACACATCGACCCGGTGTCGGAAATCCGCATAGCCCAGCCCAAACAGGAACGCGATCTTGTCCAGCGCCACGGAGAACAGCAGGTGCTCCTCGTTGTAGGTGTGCGTGAAGGCCGGGCTGTCGGTGATTTGGAGGAGGGTTGTCAGGTACCGCTGGCACGCCGGGAGGATCGAGTCCAGCAGCATCAGCGGCTGGCTCTCGCTCGGCGACCGGCTCTGCGTCGCGAACCGGATCGTGTGGTCTAGGCTTTGCAGCAGGTGTAGGTATACCGGGTACTGCGCCGGTGGGAGGCTCTCGGCCGGTGAGGCGTAGGCGCCTGTCCGCGAGCTCGATGGGTTCCGGCTTGTGCTTGTGCCGGTGCCTGTGCCTGTGCCGGTGCCGTCGGAGGCGAAGTCCGGGTAGGTTGGGAGGGTTGTGTTTGCCCCTGTGCGTGGGTGGGATGATGCTGATGCGGACGCTGATGGGAGGGAGTCGTCGCCGTCGATTTCCCAGTCTGGGCTTAGGAGGCCGCCGCTTAGGGGGTCCAGCTCTGAGGTCCAGCAGAGGTTGTTCAGGCTTGACATGTCTTCTGGGTGGGATTGGGTTGGGTAGATTGGGGAGGAGTGGGCGTAGGTTGATTCGCTGGCGAGCGGGAGGCCGGTCGCGCTCGCGTAGTCCTGGGGGTAGGAGTATGCGGGGATGGGGACGTGGCTGCGTCCGTCGTAGGTCCGCGGGCTCTCGAACGAGTGGGCTGTTGTTAGGATGGGGGGAGTCATGATGGGGGTGGAGAGGGAGGAGGAGGAGGTTGAGAGGGAGGCGGACGAGGAGGTCGAGGCCGTGGCAGGGCCGCGGTTGGCTTTGCTGCGTTTCCCAGGGACCTTGCCGATGCGCGAGATGGAAAAGGCACATTTCAGGCGGAGATTCGAGCAGCGCTGGCAGCCCGTCTTCTCGCCGGAGCAGCGGACCTGGGCTGGTCAGAGTCGGATCCAGAGACCAACAGTCGACGGTCGACGTACCTTGGCCGCATGGCACTCATTACACGCCGCTCGCAACTTGGGCGGTCTTTTGGAGGCCGGATACCTTCCAGACTCAGCTTGCTACTGCGCAGGGGGCGGCGGTACTTACGAGGACGAGTCCATTGCGGGAGTTCACGATGTCTGGGAGTGAGAGGATGGGCGGAGCATCGCCTGCTCACGTATATAGATCCAAGACTGCTGACGCCTGGGCTCGCCTACCGTGCAGCCTGTGAGGGTTGATACAATGGACCAGGTATATTCAGTCAGCACCGCGGGCGATCACGCCAGGACGCACGCACCCATCCTTCCAGGCTCAGGATTAGCCAGACACATTGCAAAAAGGACCAGGCCAGTCTGAGCCTGAGCCCTCGACTGGCGGGCGGTTGGATGCTCTGATTGCACGTCTGGTCCCGCTCGATCGTCGCTGGATGGGATGGGATGGATGGGATGGCATGACGAGGCGAGCATGAGCATGTGCAAGTGCAGCGCCTTCCATCCATGGATAGAGGAAGCAGACGAAAGTCCTGTCTTACGTTTACCTCAGACATTCAACTCCAAGATCCGCGCTCGGGCGCTCGCAGCAACGCTCCCATCTCGGAGCGAGCCTTCCATGCAGACCCCCCTCAGCACTGATTCAATTGATAGGCAGTTGGCATCGCGACGTGCAGAGTCGTGTGCAGTTGGAGGCAGCGCCCTCTGCCCTCACCTCAGCCGACACCGCGCAAGCCATATTCGCAACGATAGGGCATCGGCCGTACCCACACCCCAAGCCACGCCTGGCCTCCCGGGCAAATCGCAGGCCAGAGCTCGTCGATGAGAAGCGGAATCGTGCTACCCAGCGCTGCGTTTCAAACTCGATCCACCCTCGCCCTCATTCACAGGCCACAGGCGTATACCCCTCCCTCTGCTCCCTGCCCCCTGCCCCCTGCACTCCGTAGGGTAATCTCGATGATAAATCAGGGCCGCAGCACGCCCTGATAGGCCGGCTCTGCTTTATTGGCCTCTGCCTACGTGAATGATATGATATGAGGGCAACGCACAGACGGCCCAGTTGCCTAGATCTTTCTTGTTTTTGCAGCGCCCTCTGCTGTGCAACCCAGGGCAGACGCCGATTACGCATCTCGGCGGTTAGGTCACGGACTGAGACCGGTTCGAGGAGAGCCTACCCTACCCTCGTCGACCTCGTCGACTCAGAGCAGCGCTTGCTCTGCGATGGCCATTGCCATCGCCATCAACGCAAAAGAACGATCCACACGCTCAGGGCCAGCCGTGGCAGCCGGACCGGACCATCCCCCTGTGCGACGGTGCCGAGTGCTGTGCTGAGCTGTGCTGACTCGAATGACACCTGGCATGGCCGCGTCTAGAGACCAACCCAGTCTGGACTCCGGGCCCGGAGATGTTGCCAGATCAGACTTGTTGGGTGATCCGGTCAACACTCCCAGTGAGAAACGTTGAGCAAGATACTGGACGGCCCCTGTTTAAAATGGGAATGGGCAGGGCGAGCAGGACTCTGCTCTGCAGTTTAATATATTGAAACCGGGCTATTTACGTGCTGCGCATGTCTCAGAGGGCCCGTTCGGAGCCTGCATCGTCCGGCTGCGGCCCAGTTGCCGACTCGCCCGCGCTGCGCCAAATACATGAATTATTGGCCGCGAATCACGTCTGGCCGCTCGGTGAGCTGCTCGTCGGTTATCCATTCGTCAGTGACGGCCTTCCTAGGGGCTCAACGACGTCTCAACAACGCCATAACCACAACAAATGCCTCCCTCGCGTGTAACCGAGTCTCCAACTCCTGACTTCCTACCAGTAGGATGCCCCCTGATCCGGCCGTTCGATGAGGCCGCAACTCCAGGATCAATAAGCAGTAAGACGCGAGTCTCAGCAGGGGCAGCCGGTGAATCATGGCCCCCAACCGGCCAGGCCGCCAGGGCCCGCCACCCGCGCGGTAGACTCGACATCCCAGACTCAGAGCATCGCCTGCAAACACCGAGCCAGTGAGGGCTCCGGCGAAGATGGCGCTGCGAACGTCAAAGCGCTGAAGGAACGCCCATAGGCAGCGATGCCTTCCCCGCTTTCCCCCGTCATGCAGTGGCCTCGACGATCTCCCGATGGCCGTCCGAACAGTGAGGGTCGTCTGCTGCAGCGATGCCGCTCTGGCGACTCTCGCAGCTCTCTCACGGTCTGTATATCCACTCGGCCGTCTCATGTCCATCGCTTATCTCATCGCCGCTGACACGGCCGTGACGGCTGCCCCGATGTGACCCGTAGTCGCTGCACGGCCAATCAGGCGCCCGGCAACCAGGGCTCGCCGGTTCACGTGATGACCCTCCAGGCCCTGGACTGCGACATCGCCATCGCCATCGCCAGAAGGCCCAAGGCCCAAGACCCAAGACCCCTCGATCGGATCCCATTTGCCCATCAACGCCCACTAGCGCCCAGTCCCGCCCGCGCGTGCAACGTGAATCCCTCACGGCCAAAATCTCGGCAGTCCTCGAGTCCCCGTCCGAGTCCAGGGCAGGGTTAGGGCAACGTTCGTCTGGAGCACTAGTCGACGCTGCAATAGCACGCACCGTCCACTCAGGCTCGCGCACGCCCAAGCTTTCCCACCGTATCAGCGGCGATCACCGCGTTTATTTATCATATCAGATGCCTGCATGCCGTATCATTCTCTGCAGAGGCTAGCCAGCCAGCCCTACAAACTTTCCGAATCCCCGCGCCCCTAAGCAGCGGTGATACGAGTATAAGACGTGCTGTATAAGGTAGGACGTGCCGCAGTGCAGCGTCACACAGAGCGCCAACCCTATCTCTACTCCGCATCTCACGCTCACTCTCACTCTCAGTGCAATATGCAATGTGCAATGACCGTCTGAGTCTGAGTCTGACGTCCAGGTCGAGTCGGGCCCAGGATCACAGCCCCTGCCGGTGGCGAGTCGCGACCAACCCCCAGCCCGAGCAGGCATAGCGATCCTTCCAATAGTCAATAGTGCCAAACAAATCAGCCAGCGGGTTGGCGGTTGGCGGTGGAGGGTCGGACAGGCTAGGCCGCACGTCGTACGGAGTACGTAGGGACCAGGGTGCGGGTGCAAGTGCAAGTGCACTGCACGCAGCTGCAACGACGGGCCTAGCTCGACGCCGACGCCGGCATTTGCGGATCCTGGGGTATACCCGCGCCGTTATGGGAGGGAGGACTGGGTAGGTAGGTAGGTAGGTAGGTATGCTGATCTGCGCACAGGCCGCAGCGAAGGGCTGAAGGCTGAAGGCTGAAGGCTGAAGGCTGAAGGCTCAAGGCTAAAGGCTGCACCTAGAAAATTCCACAGCACGCTGCACGCACGACATTAGGTTGCCGTGTCGCATCCGGATGGCCCTGCTGGGCCCGTGGACCTAGCTAGCTGGGTAGCCTATGATGGGCGCGTACTGGTACGGGTACGTATGGACCACAGGGCAGACAGGAAGAAAGAAGCTGAGTTTGAGCATACTTCGCGCCACCCGTGCACCAGGCCCACTGCCGAGGTGGGCATCATATCTCCGTCGGATGTGAGACGGATCTGCCTGTCTTCTCCTCCGCTATCTGATCAGCTCGAGGGAAAAAGTGCGGTGCTTGGGCCTTACGTACTGCCCACGTCATAGCAGACCGGCCTGTCCGGGCTTTCTGATCGTGTCGGTGCTTAGTGTCTCATACTTAGGTTGGTAGGGGTACTGGTCTTGGTGGGTAGGGACCTCGGGAATGAATGTCTCATGCCTCTTCAGGAACCAAACCTTAGATAGATCCGGATTTAGAACGTCCTGCTTAGCTAGCTAGGTAGTTTACTTGTTACACCTCCCATCCATACCCCAGCTCGGCTCCCGCTACCATAAGGTTGGTCTAAACCTGAGAACTAACAGAGACCGCCGACGCATCCTTTAACCATCGAGCAACTGCCTCGTCAAAACCCACTCCCCATCCTCAGGTATACTCTCCTCAACACCTCGCAGGTCTCCCCCATCCGTCCTACGTCCCCGGAGATCCCGATCCCGAGCCCACCGCAGCCAAACGCCGAATCCACGTTTCCTGCGTCCGGCCAGACACCTACCTACCCTACCTATTGTCGAGGATCACTGCCCGTGGTCACGTGACCCGGGTGCTTGGCGCTCCCAAATATCTTTATATTTCGTAGTCACCACCTAGCTTAGTTAGTTAGTTAGTTAATTTATTTACTTTATGGCTTATTATTTCTTTTCTTAGGTTATAAGCCCTTGCTCTGCCTAGGTTTTATTACTTTTTTTTTTTATTTAAAAATATATAAACTATAACTACTAGGCCAGCCCTAGTAATTACTTTATTTTACATAAAAAATTTTTACCTAGCCTTTAAGTTTAACGCTTTAAGTATTAACACTATAATAAAAGGCTTTTTTATTATTACTAACAAGGCAAAAATTACTAACTTAATTATTAAGCTTAATAAAAAAAACTATTTTTAATAAATAAAATTACTAAAGATTAGACTGCAAGGCTTTAACTTTTTTTTTTAATAAGTTTTTTAAGGTAATCTTTTAATGCCTGCAAAACCAGACCTTTATAACTTATAAAATAATAAATTTATTAAAAAAACTTATTATAAAAAAGTAAAACTTAATAATAATATTAATATTTTTATAGTAAAAATTAAACACCTATATAAAAAAATTATTATATATAATAAAAAATTAAAAAACACTTATAATAAAAAAATAAAAAAATATAATAAAAAAAGGTTTATAGTGCTTATAATTTTTTAAAATACTTATATTTTATTTATTTAGGCAAACCTTTACACCATGTATAATTTAAAAAAGGCTTTTAACTTACTTAAGGCCCTTTATAAACCTTATAGCTATGTAGTAGCTTATAATATTTAAAATAAGCTTTTTATAATAAAGCTTATAAATATATAAAATAAAACTATTTAGTTAAATAAATAAAAAAATATTATTACTAAACTAAGGTATTAAAAACTTAAGTTACCCCTTTAAATAAAGGTTTATTTTTTTTTTACTATAATTTAAAATATAAAGTTTTATAAAGCTTAAATTACTTAGCTAAAAATATTTTATAATTTAATAATTTATAAAATAAAAAAAATATATATTTTTTTATAGTACGCG